CATTAGAAATTGGAATATTCACCTCAAATTTCAGATGCCTAGATTATAGTCTTTGCTACAAGTAAGGTGTCTATTCAATTCTTACACCCAAAGTTTAAAAAACCCTTAGTAGAATTAACTTTTGGCATCAATTTTCCAAAAGGAACTTATTTATCTTACAATTATTCAATTAGATATGTACAAATTACCTCATGTCTCAAATCGATGCTTACACAAGTACAATCTAAATTAAAGAAATTAGAAATTATAATTAATTAGTATATTGTACTTATATACATCTAATTATAAAAGAAAACGTACTTGCTATAAATTAGCACATGCTTCTTTCATTCTTTTATTACAAGTTGCAAAATAGAGGAAATGTTTAATTTGGCTAATATATCAAAAAAGTTCAATAAACACTATTAATTACTCCATACAAATAAATTTATAGATTTGAATTAAAGACGATAAGATAGTCAATATGCAATTTGGTATGGTTGCACTTGAACATGAACCCATTTCAATCAATTAATTTGACTTGATAATAATATACTTAAAGATAGGAGTTGATCAGTTTCTTGAAAACCGTTCTAATCAAATTAGATATTTTTCAACTCTACCTTTGATGATTGGTTCAAAATAATTGCCAATAAATCAATACATCGGAGCTGTACACAGTTATACCAATTATATGTTACAAAGTACAATTGATTGTTAAAAACTCAAAAAAATATGCTCATTTTATTAGGTACAAGCCGTACAACCAATTGAATTAAAAAAAATTGCTAATGGCCACAGATTAGTGTAAGATTTTTTTTGACAGGAAGATTATTACTAATGTATAAATAAAAAAATTGCAATCAAAATTTAAACAGAAACAGTTAAAGCGCTAAAGACTAATGAGAATTCTAGAACAGTAATTCAAAAGAACCAAAAAAAAAAAAAAAAAAAAAAAAACCGTTAATATAGGAAGTAACGCCGTTTAAATAAAAAAAACTTCGTGAAAAATTCCGTCAAAAAGCAGAGTGGGTCCAGCCCTTTAAATACCCCCCCAATCATAAACACCATTTCCTCTCTTTCTTCAGAGCTTTCATAAAAATCATAAATTCTTCGCTCTCAAATTATTTTCTCTCTATAATTTTCTTGCAAAAAAATCAATTAGGTTTTCAAAGAGAGAAAAATCGGTCTCAATTGAAAGGAAAATGATGAAGAGGAAATGCTGAGAATTGATAATCTGGAATTGATGATCGTGTTTTTGAGTTAGTTTCATCTGGATTCTCGAAGTTTCGGCTTTGAGCTTCATCTTGCTGTCTTTTTCTTTTTGTAAGTACTTCATTCTTCTAATTTTTGTTTAATTGCTTTAGTTTTATGCTTTTGATTCTGATTTTTTGAATTTCTTTTGATTTTTTTGTTAGATTTTTAAGTTGAGCTGTTGTGTGATGAACTGATAATCGGACTGGAGAACTAGATGATGTTTACGAGATTGTGTTGAAATGAATTTTTGATATATTTTTCTGCATTTTCGTTGCATTTGATTATTTTTCTTTTTGATTTTTTTTATTTATTTTTTATTTTGGAAATATTGAAGTGAAATGATAGGTAAGCAGATAAGCAATATGATTTAGATTTATGTAGAGTTATTTTTTGAGAATGCTTGATTATATGTTGATTCTGGTAAACAGTACAAGTTTGATGTGCAAAGTTAATAATTCAAGTGGAGAACAAACATGTGCTTTGATGTTTTTAGGATGTTCTAAACATGATAAGGTTAGATTAAGGTAAGTTTTAAAATAAAATGTGCTATTTATGTGTTTAAGCTTAGGTAAGAAATTAGAAATTGAAGTTCGAGGTTGTAGGATGTTGTTATGAAGGTGCATTTGATGAGCAGTTCATTTGTGGCGAGATTGAGGTAGATATTGAATTGATTAAATGATATCCTTCGTATATAGTTTGTTAGGTGTTAAGACTTAGGATTAAGATGTTCGATTGCTGGAAGCTGAATGTGTGTGTTTCTTGTGTGGAATGTAGGGTCGAAGGCTTTTGAATCTTTGATCAGCTAACTTTAGAAATGTCAATGGCAAGCGTTGCTCTTAGTCCAGTTCAAAAGGATTCTTTGACCATCCCGAGCTTTCTGTCGGGCCAGCATGGCTATTTGACTGATGAATCAATCTTGATATACTTGACTGTGGGTGGATCAGTGATTCCAATCCGTGTGTTGGAGTCGGATTCAGTTGCTTCTGTTAAGCTCAGAATTCAAAATCATAAAGGCTTCTTTGTGAAGAATCAGAAGCTGGTTTTTGATGGAAGAGAGCTGGCCCGAAATGATTCAAGTGTTAGAGACTATGGGGTGGCTAATGAGACTGTCCTGCACCTGGTCCTCCGTCTCTCAAATATTCAAGCTATTACTGTTAGGACAGTGTGTGGGAAGGAGTTTGAGTTTCATGTTGAAAGGAGTAGAAATGTGGGATACTTGAAGCAGCAGATTGCTAAGAAGGGAGATGGACTTTTTGATCTGAAAGATCAAGAATTGATTTTTGATGGCGAGGAGCTTGAGGACCAGTGTCAAATTCAGGAGTATTGTAAGAACAATGACGCTGTTATTCACTTGCTTGTTCAAAAATCTGCCAAAGTGAGAGCTAAACCAGTTGAGAAGGACTTTGAAGTTTTGATTGTGGCTTCTGATTCAAATGAGAAAGGAGCTGGTGGAGTAGTCACAGATGAGTTCAAACAGGGAACTCAACCTGTTCATCCTCTGGTTGCACTTAAAAAACAGTTTTGTAGAGATATAATTTTGGAGCATCTGATCGTGAATCCTAAGATTGAGCTTCCTTTAGTGATTAGGAAACTGATTAATTCTACATTTAGTGGGTTAGATAAAGGAAAACTACCAGTTAGGTCTTCTGAGGGCTGTGGAGGAGCATATTTCATGCTTGATCCCGCAGGTCAGGAATACATCTCCGTTTTTAAACCAATTGATGAGGAGCCAATGGCTGTGAACAACCCTAATGGATTACCTGAGTCTAAGGACGGTGAAGGACTGAAAAAGGGTACTCAAGTTGGTGCAGGGGCTGTTCGTGAAGTGGCAGCATATATTTTGGATCATCCTAGGACTGGTCCTCGTTCTCATTACCATTCAGAGGTTGGATTTGCTGGTGTTCCACCTACTGCTTTGGTGAAGTGTTTGCATAAGGAATTTCATCATCCTAATGGATATGAGGGTTCTTCTAAAAACTTGAAGATCGGATCTCTGCAGATGTATATGAAAAATTCCGGGAGTTGTGAGGACATGGGTCCCAGTGTCTTTCCTGTTGAAGAGGTTCACAAGATCTCAGTTCTGGATATTAGGTTGGCCAATGCAGACAGGCATGCTGGAAACATTCTGGTCTCCCGAAATCATGAAGGTCAAAATGTCCTCATTCCGATTGATCATGGGTACTGTTTGCCAAGCAAGGTAAAGTTCTTTCCACCCTTTTACCTTACATGGTTTGCTTATAATCTAACTAGACACATTAAAGGACATATCATCTAATACTCGAAATTAGATGTTCTTTGCTGTGTTATGTCATTATTACTATGTTTTTTCTTCATGTTCAGGTTGGATTTTTTATGTTCTTTGTGAGTTAGTTATGACTTATGATGCAAACCCAATGCTCTTAAAGAATTTGCAACCTATGAAGTACCCTGGTCCATTGAAAGCTAAAAACAATTTATCCCACACATTTCATGTACGGCCTTAATGTTTGAATGTGGAAAAAACTTTTGTTGCCAGCTTGCTACATGCCACTTAGTCCTGATTCTGTTGGAAATTTACTGAAAAAATATCCATTACATAGTGAATATGACTCACTAGTGAGTTTCTTTTAGTTCACGTAATTACTAGCTGCAGCACTTACTATTTCTGCTCCAAACCCCTTAACTCTGGTGTAAGTCCTATAAATGCTCTGAAAATATGTAGCCAGTTCAGAAATTACTAGCCTAATAAGGTTATACTGTATCTGGAACTTGGTAATTGTCCTCTCTTGAACAGTTCTCGGCTTCTAAATGTTGTTACTGGACAAAACTCCAGCTCTTCTAACTTTGTGCTTTCATTCACTACACAGTTTGAGGACTGTACTTTCGACTGGCTTTACTGGCCTCAAGCGCGTCAGCCATACTCTCCTAAAACCATTAAGTATATAGAATCCCTTGATGCTGAAGAAGATATTAGACTGCTGAAACTTCATGGATGGAACATTCCACCTGAGTGTGCTCGTATATTACGAGTTTCCACCATGCTCTTAAAGAAAGGCGTCGCTAGAGGGTTGACTCCCTTTGTCATTGGAAGCATCATGTGCCGTGAAACCTTGAAGAAGGAATCCGTGATTGAGCTGATCGTCAAAGAAGCAGAGGAAGCGTTGCTACCAGAATCAAGTGAAATTGCATTTCTCGAGACAATCTCCTCAATCATGGATCGCTGGCTTGATGAGCTCTCTCCATAAATTCCATGACAGTAGATATGTGAGTATGTGACTAGTTTTTAGATAACCTTGGATGTGTAAAAGTGTGACTGACTGTTGAAAATACCACTTGGCTCTCTATCCTGTATTTTGATGGCTGCAGAGTCTATGTAACTGTTTGTGTAGGATTGCTGGAACTTGCAAATCTACTGTCTGGTTGTTCCGCTTGTTTGTACTGTTATGATCTCAATTTCTTGAAGAACTTCGTCCTTTTATGGATTGATGTTCTTCAAGTTTGAGGACGGTGTGAAATGTTGTGAAACGCAAATATCAGTAAAATCAATAAAGTTGTGGAGACTGTAATAACCTCTGTTATTTTGTTGCTTTTGCTTCTTTGCGAGTTATCTGAATTCCGTTCTCTTGGTCTTTGTTGTCTGCAAGCCAGGGCTCACTTAGGTTCTGTTTTGCACTGTTATTAATCTAACTACTTATTCTAAGTAATGTGATTTTCTCTTAACAGATTATCGTCTTTATGTAAACAGATGAATTATGTACTTTTAAAGGTCATGAAAGAGGGGGCAAGTATATCAAGTGAGAAGCTACACACTGTATTAATCAAATTATAAAAGTTTAACATGAGTACACGACAATCAGAAAAATTTACATCAGAGATAAGTTTCTGAAACTATCTGAAGTTTCAGATTTAATTTGTAAACTAACAAGATTTATGTAGTAGTAGCACGCATTTGTGATAGTAAGTTCTTAAACTATATAGCCTTGCTTCGGAAACAACTCACTCTGCAAAATAACATGAACAATCAATAAGAATATATACACTCTGTATATCTTTAATTGTTGAGTTTATAGAAGTAATATATGAATACTGATAAAATGAAGATTATAAATATCGAAGATTTACCATAAGTCTTGAAGGTTAGGATGAGTGGGTTGAAGGCGGTAAGGACAATACTGGTGAGGCGATGAAGATGAAGTAGCAAGCTGAAGGACAGTGCTGCTACTTGGCTGGTCTTCTCCTCCATAGATAAATGGCATCTGCCCCATCAGTTGCTGCTGCTGCTGCTGCTGCTCAGGAAGTTGTCCACCTCCCATCAACTATAGATATGTGCAGTATACATAAAATGATAATTAATAATCCTCCATGAAAATTAATTTCTGTACTTTCTTAAGATGAACGTGATCTAGTGTAGGTTTTACTGTGATTTGCTTACCCAACGATACATGTTTCCATTGTCGGTCTGCAACAGTTGTTCCTGCAGTACAATAGATTAAAACCCAGAATGTATATAACATGAAGTAATTAGTACTTAGAAATTATGGTTAAGAAATTCTATTCTTGCAGAAACAGGTGAAAAGTTCAGGACAAACATAGGTATTTATTAGTTTGAATAACCTTTCTGCGAAGATTTTCCATTTGCTGTTGCATGAGCTGGTTCTGGAAGACCAGAAATTAAACAGTATTATTTCTGATAAATTCTTCATAATAATAAAAACATTTTCCTTGTTAAAACAAAATTTTCAAAAAAACACTAAATAAGATCTCAAACTAATCCTTCATTTCTTTCAGTACATCAAAAAGTTATTTAACAGCAGTGAATTTTCTTGTTCATCCAAAATTCCAAAAAACCAACTCAAACTAAAATGACAGAGATTAATCACCTTTCGTACTCGAATTATGTTCAAGGAGGATTCAAGCTGCTGTTCATGTTTTTGCAACACCTCAAGGGGGAGAGGACCCAAATCCTCACCCAAGTAGTTCCTTATGTCTTGCTCAGCGTTGTGAATTGCTTCCCTTAGCGCCTGCAGCTCCGAATATAGCTCTTCCTGCACAAGGTATGTAATTGCCAACATTTACTCTTCATTAGACTTATATTAGTCATGCAATTCATGATCAGATTGGATTATAAAGAAGAGAAATTAATTATCGAGCTTGTAATTTAATTACCCGATTATCATGTACTGGGAGCTGAATGCCTTGAACATTGAGATACCTCTGTATAGTTTGCCCTAGACTGTTGTCATGCACACATACATAACACCTTTATTAGCTCATATTATGCCATATATCAATCTTAAGAACACCTTATCTCACACAAAAAACACTCGGACCGTGATACTAATGCCATATTGCCATGTAGTCAATACTAAGTTACAATAATACACATTTACCAAAAAAAAAAAAAAAAAAAAAAAAAAAAAAAAAAAAAAGTGTTACAATAATACACTACTGAAGTACTGATTTATAACCATTTCATGACTTTCATGAACATTAATGCAACTTCATGTTTAATATAAATACACATGCATTTTTTTATGAAGAAAAGGTAGCTGACAAACTGAATATTGTGAAAATGCATACATGATTTTGAACTTGACATGACTTGCAAAACGTAACAAAGTTCCTCTTGCTTAGCAGAGGGACTATCTATCTCTTTAATTGTCATCCTTGTTAAATGAAAAATTTCTAGAAACTCGGTCAAGGATCTACGAATCTAGTAACTAAGAGCCATAATGGATATACAATGAGGTCAAGAAGACAATTGGGAAAATGAGTCATTTAACAGATTAATTGAATGTATGTAAGTTCCACCATAAATCAAGATCATAGCAATTAATTAATAAAATCAACCATCAACAAACTGAATTTATTTAAGATTGTTTTGATTGATCAGTGGAGTAATGATCTTCTTATGCGTGCCCCCATCAAAATGATTTACCAATGGTCAATATTAAATACATTACAAACATTTTTCAATATGATTGTTTACCAATGGTCGATTTTAGAAATACAAAACAATTACATATAGGTAGCTAGACTGAATTATAACTTAAGTACAAGTACATCAAATAAAAAAAATATTCAAAAGTAGGGTTTAATCTTGTCAAGCTATATTTTAAAAAAGTTTATTTGAAAAAATATTACTCGTAATAGGTAATAAATTAAAATAATTAGATTAATAAGGAGTATATACTTCCTCCGTTCTTTTTTTACTTGACTAGCTTTGACTTTTACACTATTCACCACCTCTCCTTTGACCGTCTTTTGTGAATAATATGTAAGGATAAAACATATTCATGTGGGATTTTTTTGAATTCGTCTCAATAAGTACTATCATAATATATAAATTTTATAATTTTTACTTATGGGGAATTAAAGTTATTGATCGTTTAAGTTTTGCATTGGCAAGCGTGATATAAGAAACAGGTCAAGTAAAAAAACAGAGGATGTATATATTAGACAAAGCACCAATTGCATCTAGCTAAAAAAATTAAATTATTTAAAAATGATAACAAAAAATTGGTCAAAGATAGAAGTCCAAAAATCTGCAGTTAAATTAAAATCAAAACTGAGAAAAGTAATCATTTCAAAACCACATGAAAAAATTTCAGAAAATTTATGAGAGTAAAACCCTAGCTAGCTACATACTGATCAGATGCACAAGAAAAACATCTCACTTTTTATCATAAAAATTGAAAGTTAAAAGAATTTAGATTTCCACTAACACTAACTAATTAAGAATACACATTTTTAATTAACCTGTTGGAAGATTCTGGAAAAGTATGAAGTTTTCCAGTTCCAGAAAAGATGATGAGGCCAATTTGAGCATCACAAAGAATGGCAAGTTCTTTGGTCTTCTTCATTAGCCCTTGTCGCCGCTTCGAATAAGTCACTTGCCTATTAGTCCTGTTCTCTATTCTCTTCATCTCTATCTTTCCCCTTCCCATGATTATGCTGAATTGGTCTTCTTCTTCGACAAAACCCGAAAAAAAGAAAAGAACAAATGGACAAATACAAGTCAGAAACATTAACATACTGTATGTTAATAATTCAAGAAATAAACTTATCTTCTTTATGATATGATGGTTATAATGAAGAAGAAATGTTGCTAAGTTTATGAGATGTTAAGTAATAATATGTCAAAAATAACCACAAAAAATAACTCACAAATTCCAAGGTTTAAGGCAAAACCCATGTTAAGTAAATTTGTCAAAAATAACTAAAAAAAACTTTCCAAGCAGACTGATGCAAAACAACCACATTTAATAGCATACTATGTTATGTGATCATATATAATATGGGGAAATGAAGAATAGCTAGAAACAAATATGTAGCTAATTAGGTCGCATCTTGTACTAATGATGTAGGGTATTATGAACACGAATTTAAACATTACAATAATTAAAAAGCCATTTTCATCATCATTTGAAGAGATGATCAAGGTAGCAGAAAAGTTTTAGAAGCTTACTATTTTTTTTTCTTCTGAATTTACACAAATCAACCCTAATTTGGAGTTTTAATTTCGAGTTTTCGATTTATCTATCTTGCTTCTTAAACTCACTTCTACTCCTCAAGAAACCATAAAAAAAAAGGGGGAAATAAAGTTTTTGTAAGAATAAATGTTTTAAGAGGGGGGTTGAAGCTCTTATGTAATAAGAAAAAAGAGTTTTGTTTTTTTTTTAAAAAAAAAGGGTAATATAAAAATAATTTAATAGTGTTATATATAGTTCATGTTGTCTATTTAAAGTTAACCACCTATTAAGTTTCTGAATTATAGTCTTTCTATTATAGGAAAAAGTAGGGTTGAGTTCAATAAACCTAAGTTAAATTACCTAACCTCTTCCTTTACACCTTTGGTTTGTTTTCACATTATGTGAGAATCAACATCCATCCAACCGACCCTCTCTTCCCTGACTAATTATGTTTAAATTTGTTTGGTGAAGACTTATAAGTGGAATCATAATCATACGAGATTGTTCAAATATGTTAACTTTCCTCTATAAAAATTAACGCGGAATTTGAATAGTCTTATACCTTAGTGCGTTATGGCCTATGTTGCAACGCGGCATACTAATTATTACACTCACTATCTCTGTTTATGCAATGAGTAACACTTAGAAGCACCGAAGTACCTTGTACTCCGTATAGTGTTTCATCAACCTTCAAAATTAATTAAAATATAATAACCCGTAGTTTTGGGTTCAAAATTATAGCACAATCAATTTTAATTCACAAGTATAATTTGATTTTGTGTATACATAATTCTATTTATGCTCTAAAATCATACTACCTATATTAGCTACGTAGCTAGCTAGTTACAAGTAATTTCTAGGTAACAATAATTAGCATATAGAAATGACATGCAAGTTAGAGAATTAGAACCAAATTAATCTTCTTATAACATTTACTTGGTTTATCCATAAGCTTTGTCACATTTTGCTATAAAAAACAACTTACTTTTGACTGCTTTGCCAGTTGCCACAAAGGTTAGCAGGCCTAAATAAATTACTAATTTAGAAGTCATTTATCACTATAATGGTGGACATTAAAAAGATGGATATTCTGCCTTCTTTATTATAAACATGACATGATTTTATATATTTTATCTTTTCTAATGGTTGCTTATGTCTCCTCTCTCCCGTTTGTTGATTATTTTTTTAAAAAAAAAAGATGCTATATCTCCATCTTTAAAATATTAATTTCACTTATGTTACAAAATAAAATTTTCTAATGATCAATGACAATTTAATTTATTTAAATTTCATAAATAGTGTATATGACTATTAAAATAGTGCATGGAGAAATACTTGAGGCAGATTTACAATTTTACTATGTAAAAGCAAACATAATTGAACAAATTAGTTTTACCGTTGGCCATTTTTTTTTGATGCTATATAAGTATGTAATTTGATAATGTATGTGAAATAAATTCATAATCATGGTGGTCAATTTTAATTATTAGCTAGGTCCATTGTTGAAATTTGTTACAAATGAAAACCCTAATAAATATTTTGCATGTTAAAGAGAGCCAAAATAGAAAAATAGGAAACGTATTAGACGACCAAATGGTCCCCTTGTGGGCTTGCATATCCTTCTCAGCATCATCATACGAAATATGCAATTTCACACCTACTACTAAATACTAATTGTTTGCTTCACTATCCAATTTCTACTCACGAACTCACCCTTTATCCAATTTCTTATCTATCTCTATCTTAGCATTGAGTTGGAAATGTGGCCACATTATATGCACATACTCAAGTGCCACTTTTTTTAATTCTTACATAGTAATGCACTCTCGGTCACTCCGTTTATAAATGTTGTTCGTATATGATTGACTGTTTTTATCTTGCAAAATAACATATAGGAACAACATTCAATTAATAACTGATAAGAGAACCATTAATTGATTATCAAACCAATAACATATGTTTCAAATTTACACATAAAAGGGCAATTGATTATTATCAAACCACACAAGAGAGATTATTACTACGTTGCTTTGTAGGTATATCCTTGAGAGGTTATGTAGAAAATTAGGTTTACGTAATATAACAGCTAGCTGGTCAATATCATAAACATGAAAAAGCTAGTGGTAAAAATAAAATGCATGGTAAATAATGATTGGAAAATTCAGAAGAGTTAGTGGAGAATAAAGAGGTGAAAAACATGGGACTTTCCTAATTTGGAAATTACAAAAATAAAGGGTGGTTCTTCCAACTAGGGGAAGCTGGCATACATAATTAGATATAATTGCATTCTATTTTAGTATGTTTGTTTATCTCTTCTGTCCCTACGGAACAGTTGTTCAGTTTTCACATGCACCCTTCTTTTTTAGGGTTACACCTTTCAAACCCATTTATGGCATGTATGTTCATATATTCATAGTACTCCGTATGACTAATAGGCCAATTTTTTAGACACATGCAAGTTGTTATATGTCTTAAGTGTATGAAGAGGGGACCTTCCATCGGGGTCATTTGGGGTCTGGCCCCCGGTAAATTATTGTAATTAATTAGTTAATTAACTTAAATAACCTTATTTTTTATTTATGAAATATTAGAACATAATGATTAGTTTTGAGCGAGAGGTAAAATATTTAACTGTTGACCCCTCTAATATTTTTGGTCAAGATCTGCCACTGAGTGTATGCAAGGTATGTATTCCTAATCTCCATTTCACTTTTCCGAATTGTTTATATCATAGTTAATCACTATATTAAATTATGCATCAACAACAATAAGACATCAAATCTTTAAATCTTACTGATGATTCTTCTTTTCCAATAATGGCTACAAAAATGTGAAAACAGTAGGAACTTATTATTGATTACAATTGCCTAAAAAATCATATGGATACTAATTACAATGAGGGATAAATAAATGGTATAAAAAAAAACCACTCCAAATGTACCATTTCTTCTTTATTTGGAGTGTTGATTAAAGGCTTACCATATATGCATTTTTATCTATACGTACGCCATAATCCCATATAGCTTAGCACACTATAACACATTTTTTCCACACAATTACACAAAAATCTAACATGCTTAGTTATACTATGGTTTACACAATTACATATTGTTAAACTAATTCCATTATTAAGCCGATAATCCTGATTGATATGAAACACCTGTTGAAGTTATCCAATCTTGGCCAAATATAAATTGAGACACTGTAAATTTCTCTGCCTCTCCTCTAGCCATATTCACATGCAAACCCGGCCATTTGACCCGTTGTGACGTGTCGGCCCGTGGCCCGACATTGCCATACTCACCATAATATAACTTGTCTAATGGAGATGTTGCATTCCACTCTAACCACCCCCTAGGATCAATGTGATCACCCAAGTAAGATTCCATGTACACAACTCTAGCAAATATTTTCCATGGACGGCCCAAATACGTTGGGTAGCTAGACTTGGCCGCCTCGAGGTCCGTGGTTGCTCGGGCTTGGCAAGCTTGGATCGACATGCCCGTATTTTGATTTGGGTCCTTACGGTTTTGGGCTGTAATTGTGACCTTTTGTTGGGGCATGGGCTTACGAGCCCACATTGTGCAATTTTGAAACACAACAGCCGCGTTACCAAAAATGAAGTCTACGGTCCCATATATGTCACACTCTCTATAGAATTGTCGTTGTGAGTGTACATAGAGTGTGTCTTGGTATCCTTTTATCTCACAACGATAGACTACAGCATGGTCTGCACCTACACGAAGGGCTACAGCTTGGTGGTTACCGGGGCCAGCCTCATTTACAAATGTAATATCCCGAACTACAAACCCAGTGCCGCTAGCAGCTACAAAAGAAAATTCACAATAAGAGAACATTAATTGACTATTGAGTATTGAGGGTGAAGGAGGTAAAGGGTTAAAACCAACATTACTGATCTACTCAGTATATTATTATTGTAGATGTCGTATAACTGTATAAGTAACTACTATATCAGTTTTATATTTTTTGCAACTTTGAAATATTTTATATCTCACAAATAATACCCCAAAGTTGCAAAAAATATGAAATGGGGATAGTATTATTGATATTATTCTTACTTTAAAATAAAAATAAAATTACTACTTAAAGAGTTACAAGGACGAGTAATGAAAATCAATTTCAAAATCACCTAAAACCGAAAAAATAGCTTTAACCACTTGAATTATCTCATATTCCCTCGCTCTCAAATAAAATTACTATGGAGCTGTAAAGGTTGGAGAGATGTCATTTTCAGCTTTTGAAGTGAGTGACCAATTAGAAATTGGAGGAATTTTGTCCTTTGTAATTTTTTGTATTTTTGGATGACTTTTAGTGGGTTAACAAGGCATACAGGACTAAAAGGTTAAAGTACATAGACAGAAATCAAAATTTTGAGGCCCAATAATGCATGACCCGGTCTCTTTTTGGGTACTGCACTTTGTTGATCTTAGTGTAAAGGCTGAAATTGAATTCTTCAAATATTGTTTGTTAGTTACACAATTATTTTGTGAACCAGTTCATTTTCCAAACAAAAATATCTTCCCATTTGCTTTACATAGTAGTTGCAATATTTTTATTACACGCTAGTTTTTGCATAATTTCAATATTTATCTTCGTTTCTCAATATAAAAATTATGAAAATTTTGATACTTCAAAATGTATATTAAGACTAATTTAATAAGATCTTACAATATTGCCATATTTTTCCTTGAAAACAAACCACTATATAATAAACTATAAAAGTAACTTACCAAATGCAGCAGTGTGGAAAGTGGTAATCTGATCGCGACCCACACTCCTTTGGCCAGAAATTACAGTCCGACCCTTGCCTTCACCTAAAAACCACAAGTTTGTTTTCTTTCGTCCCACTTTCAAGTTATCCTCTGCATATCTAAAACATTATACGATTGATTTAATCTATGTAAGAAATACATATATTTCATACCTAAATGTCCTATAGTTTTTATTCAAGGTGTATTTATCCGTTTTAAATACTAATGTACTCACTCAAATTTAGACCTAAGTTAATTAATAACAAAAAGTACATGTATTTGTTTTCTTTGAATGTTAACTTGTATTTAACCGAAGCGTTCTAAATATTACAAACCACTTTAAACGACCGACATGATTAATATGAAAAAGAAATTTATAAAATGGAGATATCATTTTCATAAAGTTGTAAACTTAATGTTATGCTTTCTATAACTAGATATGCCATATATTGGCCAATACATACCACAATCTACTTTGACAGTGTCAACTTCCATGGGTTGAAAACATTAACCGTAATCATATATCATGAATTAAATCAATAGTCATCATCTTGTTAAATCAAGCCTATAACATCATAATTAGTACAAGATGATAGTTTGTGAGAAACAAAAGCTGGCACTTAAAGAAAGTAAGAAACAGTAGAAAAGCAAAACTACCGACACTAATTCAAAACATTTATCATTTTCCTAATTTTATATATATATATATATATATATAAGGCCATTTTCCTAATGGATTTATTATTGCATCCATTTTTTTTTAAAGGCAATTTCTTATTCTTGCAAAAACTAACGAGGTATTGACCTAGTGTTAGACTAAGAGCATATGTACAATAATTCAATAAATCACAGGTTCAATTCCCCGCTCCCATATATAATTCATAAAGCTCTTATGACTACCTATTCGCATTTAACAAAAAGTTCATATATATAAATATGTTGATGGAATAATTTATTTTAAATATACATTCAAAAGGTACATATACTTATAAAACTATCATTTTCGGAGTATGACTTTTTTTCCTCTACATTAGCAACTATGATTAGTACACGGTCATTTGACTTCAGTATGAAAATTGACAACAATAGTCAAATCTAATTATATTAGCTACCGTTTACTTCTATTATGTGAAGGTTGTATAAGTTTTGTAAGGACATTTTTCAATCACATTTATTGATGAAGAAGCTTATTTGTGCAACTAATTGGTTGATAACAATCACTAAAGATCTTGTTTCTTAATCTTGTCAATAGAACATCAATACAATCATTCACTAATTATATTATTGTTTCTTAATCTTACCAATACAATAATCATTTTGTTATTAAATATGGCTATCTTGTTTCATAATCTCTAAATTAATTAGTAACTAGAGAATTGACACATAAGACAGATTATATTATCGATCTTTTATTAGTGGAAATACTTAACTCTAATATAAATAGCCAGCTTGTTTGCAATAATAACAATGCGCACTATTAATTCTTGTTAATTAACGTATATAGAGTTTAAATGTGCGCATCCTTATCAAGCAGTAATATTATACGAAGTATAAGGAGTATATAAAGAAATTTATGTCCAATACAGAACAAGAAAACTTACGTTCCAGCTTTGACAAGGATAATAATGCGACGTGCACTATTTTCGGGTGCTTTTTTGATAGCCTCAGTAATAGTTTTTACGGTACCCGACCCATCTTGAGCCACAACTATATCCGCTTGTACACTTTGGGTCGGGGTACCCAAAAGTTCTCGTTCGGACCTTGTCATCCACTTAGGAAACCCGGAATCATTATCTAGGTAGGTCTCGGGTTCGAATCCTAACAATCTCCGATTTTGTATAGGAGTGCCTGAAAAATCATCCATATTATGACTGGCCGCATATATAGCTAGACTATTGCTGACTAGCTCGGATAAATCTTGAAGCCTTTGGAGCATTTGATTCTTGATGGTCCCACCCACGTTGTTAAATCCTTCCGTACACGTGTCGTGATTTGTCATGGCCCCACTTAACCATGTCATCACATCTTGCTGGGACCCTCCCTGCTATTCAAAAATTTGAATAATGCTAAGTGAATTACTACTTGCCACAAAAAATTAGTTGAACTTATTGATGATTTTAAATGTTGATGATTCAAATAATGTTGGTTGGTATTATATTATGGTTAAGTGGTCTGGTGATAATATTACATTGGTATTAAAATACTTCTTTATTAGTATCAATGTATTCTTTAATGGTATTATGAATGATACCATCTATCACAACGTAATACCAACAATTAGCATTATTAGAGTTAGTAATGACTCAAGCTTACACGAGTACTAGTTATACCATTACATTATAATTTTAAGTTTTAACATACATTTCGTACCTATTTTGAAAGTATAATGATTTTTAACATGCAGATAAAAATTACACGTGGAATGTTGTGCGACAGCGGAAGCAAAGGTCGAAAACAAACAAGAAAACAATAAAGAAATTCAATGCAAACAATAAGAACAACACCAAGAATTTACGTGGTTCACTATCGATGTGATAGCTACGTCCACGGGCACCGAGATCGAATGATTTCACTATAAACTGCAAAGATTACAAAGATGATTCTTGTATTTCTCAAGAACGGCTTTCACTCTGTCTCTCTTCACCCTAATACTGATATTAGGGAGGTTTTATATTAATCCCTAATTAAAAGATACTTGGGCAAAAAGATAATAAAATAAGATAACCTAAAACCGCAAAATCCGCGTTCCGTATTTTTCCTTCTCCGCCCGGTCAGACCGGGCAAGGTCTGCCCGATCGGGCGCGAGAAGAAAACTCCATACGAATGCTTCAACGTATCCAACCCCCACCGCCCGGTCAGACCGGGCAAGGTCTGCCCGATCGGGCGAAGGCTCGCCCGGTCGGGCGAAGGCTCGCCCGGTCGGGCGCGAGAGCAGCTTCTTCAACGAATTTGCCAGGCACCTCTTCTTCTTCCGCCCGGTCAGACCGGGCAATGTCCGCCCGATCGGGCGGACAAAGCTACGAAGTACGAGTCACCTAATATACTTATCAACAATCTCCACCTTGACGAGAACTCGTAGTCAGCAAACAACCCCATCAAGACATAGTGAAAAAACATCTCAAGCCAAACCCGATGCAGGACTCATGCATAAGCCATACATCCCGATAAGTCTTCAACCAAGACCCATCACATACTCGTCTCCAAGTATAACAACTCATAATGCTCCACCTGCATCACAAGCCCCGGGCAAGCTCCACCTTAAGGCCAACACACCTACACCAGGAGCTCCCCAACTTCGCCCCTCAGGGCCTACTACATCACGTAGTAATCAATATTTAACAAGTCTAAGCAATGTTTAAACTTGCTAAACGGAACAGGCTTAGTGAAGAAATCAGCCGGGTTGTCAGCAGTCCCAATCTTCTTCACCTTAATCCTCTTGTCAGTACGCAAGAAATGATACCTGACATCAATGTGCTTCGTCCGATCATGGTGTACTTGATCTTTAGCTAAGCAAATCGCACTTAGACTATCACAATATACTGTAGCAAAATCCTGTGCAATACCCAGTTCACCTACTAGGCCTTTGAGCCAAATAGACTCCTTAGCTGCAGAAGTTAAAGCCATATACTCAGCTTCAGTAGTTGACAACGTAACTGATGACTGCAATGTAGACTTCCAACTAACCACAGAACCACCCAAAGTGAACACATAACCAGTCACAGACCTCCTGGTATCCACATCAGCTGCATAATCAGAATCACTGTACCCAGTGACCAAGCATTCCCTACCATTCCCGTACACAAGACCAATATCAGTTGTCCCTCTCAGGTAGCGAAAAATCCTTTTCACCCCTTGCCAGTGTTCCCTCCCAGGTCGAGCCATAAACCTGCTTACAACACTAACAGCATGCGCAATATCCGGCCTAGTACAGACCATAGCATACATCAAACAACCAACCGCATTTGCATATGGAACTCTAGACATATAAGACAACTCCTCCTCTGATTGAGGTGACATAGACAAAGACAACTTACAACTAACAGTAGTTGGCGTACTTATAGGCTTCGATTTTTCCATCCCAAAACGAGACAAAATCTTTTCAATGTAGCTTTTCTGAGTCAAGAAAAGCTTACCTCTAGCCCGATCCCTGTAGATCTCCATACCCAAAATCTTCCTAGCTGCACCCAAGTCTTTCATGTCAAACTCCGAGTTAAGCATCTCCTTTAATCTAGCAATATCAGATTTATTCTTTGTGGCAACCAACATGTCATCAACATATAACAAAAGATAAATCATGGAACCATTATCCAGCTTACTATGATACACACAGCAATCATATGAATTCCTGTCAAAACCTTGTGAAACCATAAAAGAATCAAACCTTTTGTACCACTGTCGGGGGGATTGCTTAAGTCCATACAATGACTTTAGCAATCTGCAGGCATAGTGTTCCTTTCCAGGAACTTCGAATCCTTCGGGCTGCTTCATCAGAATCTCCTCCTCCAAATCGCCATGAAGGAAGGCCGTTTTAACATCCAACTGCTCCAGCTCAAGATCAAAATGTGCTACAATTGACAATAACACACGGATAGAAGTATGTCGAACCACAGGTGAGAATATCTCAACAAAGTCAACCCCTTCTACCTGACTGAACCCCTTAGCAACTAGCCTAGCCTTAAAACGTATTTGCTCAGTTTCCGACAACCCTTCTTTCTTCTTGTAAATCCATTTACAACCCACAAGCTTCCTCCCTTCCGGTACCTTTACCAGTTCCCACACTCTGTTCTTGTAAAGAGACTGCATCTCTTCACCCATTGCGGCAAGCCATTGCGCAGACTCACTACAACTAATTGCTTGTTTATATGTGGCAGGTTCAAATGACTCTACATCATCAGCTACACTCAATGCATAACCTGTCATCGCATCAACACAGCAATTTCTTCCCTCCATCTCTTCAATCAATCTAACAGGCTTCTTGATAACTCGTTTAGGCATCTCAAGAATGGTGTCAGGTTGACTAGATGACCCCTGATTAGATTGCTCCACCTCATCCCCAGAGTTAGAATGAGTAGGAGTAATCTCAGGTTCAGGAGTACCCGGCACTGGAACATCAGCATCATCATCAATATATTGTACCCGAGGTAAATCAGCAATGGTAGACTGATGTACCTCAAGTACCCCATCTGTCTGTAATAAATTGTCTCCTTCCCTTCTCAAATTTGAAATCTCTGCATTTTTAATTGAATACATGGTGTTTTCATCGAAAGTAACATCCCTACTAAGAATGACCCGACCCTCCGAAGGTGAAAAAATTCTAAACCCCTTCACACCATCCCCGTACCCAACAAAACACCCCTTCTTGGCTCGTGGATCCAGCTTACCCTCAATAACATGATAATAAGCAACACAACCAAAAATCTTCAAATTCGAAAAATTAGGCAACTTACCACTCCAGATCTCAAACGGAATTTTGGAATCAATTCCAGAATGAGGACCCCTATTAATGACATAACAAGCTGTTAACACAGCTTCACTCCAGTACCTCCTCCCAAGCCCTGCATTAGAGAGCATGCATCGGACTCTCTCTAGCAGTGTCTGATTAACCCGTTCTGCTACACCGTTCTGCTGTGGTGTCTTCCTGACAGTATGATGCCGACCTATACCCTCATCTGCACAGAACTGATTAAACTCGTCTTTGCAAAACTCTAGCCCATTGTCCGTTCGTAGCTTCTTGATCTTCCTTCCTTGTCGATTTTCCACCAAAGCTTTCCATTGCTTGAAAACTTTGAAGGCCTCATCCTTTGACTTAAGCAACCTAAGCCATGTGTATCGGGACTTGTCATCAACAAATGACACAAAATAGTGGTAACCTCCCATACCTTCAACTCTAGATGGACCCCAGCAATCTGAATGGATGTAATCGAGCACTGCATCAGTAATGTGAGCACCCTTGCTGAACTTTGACCTGTGTTTCTTACCAAACACACAATGCTCACAAAATTCAAGGTTGGCAACCTTGACCCCGGATAGAAGACCCCTCTTGGACAATAGCTGCATCCCCTTCTCCCCCATATGACCAAGCCTCATGTGCCAAATCTTAGTCATCTCCTGGTGAGATACAGATGCGCAAACCGCAGAACTAGGCAGTGTAACACCCTCAAAAACATAGAGGGTGTTCCTTTTGATACCCTTAAGTACCAACTCAGAACCTCTGAAAATACACAACTCCCCATCTGAAAACACACCATTGTACCCCAATTCATCCAGGGTACCCAATGAAATCAGATTCTTTCCTAAAGCAGGAACATGCCGTACATTAGTCAAAGTTAACCTCCGCCCATCAACAGTCCTCAACCTCATGGAACCAATACCTGTGACCTTACATGGAGCATTGTTACCGACTATAACCATACCCCCATTGCGAGGTTCATATGTATCAAACCAATCTCGACGTGGACACATATGGAACGAACACCCCGAATCTAGAACCCAGTTATCAGATAAATCATCAGACCTAGCAGAACTGACTAATGCTAAATCTTCCTCTGAATTATAGCTCTCATTCGGTTTCTCTTCAACTACAGCAGCCTGGGACTTGTTTTTCCTCACCGGACAATTATTCCTAAAGTGACCCGGTTCTTTACAGTAATAACATGTTTTAGTAGTAGTTTTACTAGATCCATCCTTGCCGTTTCCAGCACCCGACCCAGCATTGTTCCCCTTGTTAAACCCCTTATTCTTTTTAGACTTTCCGGACTTAACAAATAACCCACTACCATTATCCCCATTATCACTCGTAGCTTTCATTCTGAGTTCCCTAGTATGAAGTGCTGCCTTCACTTCTTCTAAGGTTATAGAATCCTTACCAACAACAAAAGACTCTACAAAATTCTCAAAGCTAGACGGTAGAGATACAAGTAAAATCAACGCAGCATCCTCATCATCAATTTTAACATCTAAATTACGTAAATCAAGCAAAATAGAGTTAAGTTTTTCTAGATGTTCCCGTAAGGAAGTACCTGACTGCATCCGGAGGCTAAACAACCGCTGTTTCAGTAATAATTTGTTGGTCAACGACTTAGTCATATACAATGACTCCAGCTTCAGCCACAATCCAGCCGCCGTTTCCTGATCAGCAACCTCCGTGATGATTTGATCATCAAGACTAAGTAATATGGTAGAGTGTGCCTTCTCTTCCATAACTTCTAACTGCGAGTCAGTCGGTCCGTCTCCTGACTCCGAAGTAGTACTCTTTGGAGCCAACGGACGCCATATCTGCTGTTGTTTTAACAGAGCCTTCATCTTAATTTGCCATAGCCCGAAACTATTTTTCCCGGTAAACTTCTCAATTCTTATTGTTGAATCTCCTGCCATTGTTATCTTCAAGAAACTCTCCAAGGATTGAACCTGAGCTCTGATACCAATTGTTGTGCGACAGCGGAAGCAAAGGTCGAAAACAAACAAGAAAACAATAAAGAAATTCAATGCAAACAATAAGAACAACACCAAGAATTTACGTGGTTCACTATCGATGTGATAGCTACGTCCACGGGCACCGAGATCGAATGATTTCACTATAAACTGCAAAGATTACAAAGATGATTCTTGTATTTCTCAAGAACGGCTTTCACTCTGTCTCTCTTCACCCTAATACTGATATTAGGGAGGTTTTATATTAATCCCTAATTAAAAGATACTTGGGCAAAAAGATAATAAAATAAGATAACCTAAAACCGCAAAATCCGCGTTCCGTATTTTTCCTTCTCCGCCCGGTCAGACCGGGCAAGGTCTGCCCGATCGGGCGCGAGAAGAAAACTCCATACGAATGCTTCAACGTATCCAACCCCCACCGCCCGGTCAGACCGGGCAAGGTCTGCCCGATCGGGCGAAGGCTCGCCCGGTCGGGCGCGAGAGCAGCTTCTTCAACGAATTTGCCAGACACCTCTTCTTCTTCCGCCCGGTCAGACCGGGCAATGTCCGCCCGATCGGGCGGACAAAGCTACGAAGTACGAGTCACCTAATATACTTATCAACATGGAATAAGAATTATGATCAATGTTTTTTCACCACTACACGTGTATCTCAACAACATTAATACGTACGAGTAGTAGTAATAAATTTAATAATCTTGATTCTTGAACATTGGACCCCATCATTAATGTGAATAATGTAATGTCGTTAGTACTAATACTATTTGTTACTAATATAATCTCATTACTACAATTAGTAATACTGTACTAAAACTCACCTGAACTTTATCACCATTACTGTCACTACCACTCTCCACTTCCACTGACGACGACGTCGTTTGAGAGACATAGAGCAACGATCGTCCGAGGAGGTCAACGGAGTCATCCAACAGCTCTAAACAATCCTCGTACGCCGACCTCATCCACGTGTCCATCTCCCAGTTCCTTATCTCCGTTGACTCCCCTAGTGCCACCCCAAATTTTTGTAAAGTCATGTTTACGGAAATGTGGGCCACCTGGAGCGGGTCTTTAGCGAACACTGCTCCAGGGAACTTTGCTAGTGTTGACTGGCAAATTTCCGGGAACCGGGTCATCCCACAGGCTTTCCGGATTACCCTAGTGGTACCGGGGCCTGGGGATGACCCTGCAGGGGCCCTCCTCATGGACTTCATCGCCACTGGGATTCCACAAGCAGTGGCAATGATGAGGAGGGCCCCTGCAAGGAGGAGAAGGATTTGGCATGTTCGAGTTTTGGATGGGGGTTTTGGGGTGGTGGTGGATTCGAGTTCGGTGATTCGAGCGGATGGGGTGGGGATTAGACGGCCGTAGTTTTGGTTCATTTTGAGGTAGTGTAGGAAAATAATGAGTTTGGAGTTCAAAGAGGGATATAAGGGGGGATAAATAGGGGGTTTTGGGAGGTGGGTGTAAAGTCTTGTCTAAGGGAGAGTGTTAACTAACTAGCTGTTTTCTACTAAGAGTAGAAATGGAAAGTTTGAGGATGGCTTTTTAGCGGTGTTTATAAGTTTATTAGGTGTATTTGAAAGTATGCATCCTCGTCAACTGTTGGAATATAATTTTGGAAGGAATATTTATGATTGTGTCTTTTTAGTTTTTATAGTAGTTGATTTGGCCTGGCCTTTTATGAGGTAGATACGTGCAAATGTGCAATGAAATGTGTTTACTTTAAATTTTCTGTTTTATTTACACGTCGATATATAAGGTGCATAAAAGCTGAGCCATAAACCACATATACTTTAAGGTGTATTTAAAAGAATGTGTTGCTATATACGAGTAATTGAAATTTATATTAATGGAAATTGAAATGAGATATACTCGTGCAAGTAGTAGAAGTATACATTATGGATAAGGTAAAGAATGATTAAATTTTGGAAAGATAGATGATGAAATCATGACAAAGGCCGGAATATGTAGTCATGGTCACTCATGGTGGGTTTCCCTACTTTCCTAGTTAGTTAGCTAAGATTAGTAATTTAGTATCACACTAACACCTCATTCTAATGCAACAATTACGTAAATACTATTTTTATGTTTTATATTCCCCACTTTCGCCAAAAATAGGGTGTTCGTGTAGCTTACATAGTTAATTAGTTAATTACATAATCATTAATTAAGATTTAAGAAGATAAATTATTGCTCATAACACATACTTATACTTTGTAAAATTACTGGATAGTTTTTAACTTATCATAATTATGATTACGTATTTTATACACTATATCAAAATATAGTATATAACATACGTATTAAAGGCACATTTATTCAAGTAATATTTTGTGTGCAATAATGTATATTTTCATACCGCCTCTTAAAAAAAAATAAAAAATTGTATAATTTCATACCAAGCTTATTCAGTGTACTTGGTTGAGAATTATCTTGTAAATTTGATGTTACTAGGCCGAAAATCATTGTTTCAAACTTTGCGGTCCAAATTTTTACCCTTTCCAAAGTTAAGAAAAAAAAAAGAAAAAATTGATTAACGCTCGCTGCCTTTTGTAGATATGTCAAATTTAGTTCTTTTATTATTAACAACTAACGGGATGAAATTATACAATAATGTTTGAAAATGCTTCGTAGAAGAGAAGAAAGGGAGCAAGAAAAGCCGAATAAAATCGTAGTCATTTTTGTCGGCATGGTCGAAAGTGAAACGCACGAAAAACAATATAGAGGACAAATTAACTTTAGTACTAGTATCAATTATTATAGCTCTATTCTACACACAATTATCAATAGATTCAGAACATTGATATGAATCAAGCCATTGTTTTCATTTAAGCCAAAATCAGAAAAAAGGCATTTTTTTAGGTGTTGGAAAAGTTCAATTCAATTTCTTTATTCTACGTAGCTAAGAAACCTTGTGCCTAAGGAGTCAAAAGGATAAGAAAACACTTGGAAAAGATATTAAAATCCAATCCAATTTCACTCCTTTATTTAGCTTTTAAATAAAATTGAGCTGACAATTATATAGGCCTATTTGGATTTGATTTTGGGGTTGTTTGGCAATCGGCGGTTGGCTGATAATTGTTTGCTTTTTTACTTGGCTTGTTTGACTAGCTGGAATTATTACCTGTATGAATTGACTTTTTAAGTTAGTCGTTTAAGCCAACTGTTTACAAAAGTGTTTGGTAAAATTATTTATTGTTCTTAACTGTGTATTAGTGATAAAGTGGGCCAACAAGCCAAAAGCCAATAGAAAAAGCTATTCTTATTAGCTTTTGATTTTTGGCGGAAAAGTCAGCTTAAAAGCCAACAAAAAAACCAACTACCAAACATATTTTTTGGCTGTTTGACCAAACTAAAAAGTCAAAAGCTAGGCGAAAAGCCAGTTGCCAAACACCCCCTTTGTGACATACCGAATAATTAATTATACGATATGAAAATTTGTCTAATTAGATCAGGTTTAAGTCAATTTGTATGATGGTCGAGTTTGTGTTCTGTTGTCATAATACGTAAATTTTTTTTAAAAATGTGGAACAAGTTTAATTGCACTATAGACATATGTTTATGCTTTTAAGATGTGAAACAAGTTTAATTGGACTTGCACGCGCAAACATATAACAAGATGTCATGATCCCAAATTATGCCGTTTACTTTTAAATCCATAATTAGTACAAAAAATGGATTAATATTGACTGTTAAAATGTAAGCTAAGTGTCACAAATCACAATTGTGTTGATAATAAAAGGAAGAATTAGTAGCTTCTTAAACTTGGTCAATTGTCATGTAGTGAACGAAGTCGTCTCAACCATGGGCTTTCAATTTACTCGTATTAGACAATGAAATTCATTGAATTGACACCTCATAAGATTTGCCAATAATATCAAATTAAATTTCCGTCAAAAAAAGTGTAAATTAAATTTGCTTAGCTTGTTTCCATCAAAACCATCATCAATATCATACCAATTGCTTATGCAATTAAGTATAATACGTAGTTATATAAAAAAAAAAACTAATTCATGCAAACTATGGTCCCTTGTACTAATAAATTGGATCGAAACATAATTTATTTATTTACTCATGTCCATCCTATATACGAAGTATATTATTCTTTGTAATGTCGCTAATACCTAGTACCATCTCTTGTTCGTTTGATTGCTAAGAAGATCGATATGATTTTCTTTCTCGCTTTAGTTTTTCTTTTATTGTAGGGTTAAATTTTTGTTAGATTGACCCTTATGGGGATCACACCTTTTTATTGAACATACCTTTTTATTCCGAAAAAACATAGTACTCGTATTACATAATTGTATAACATTTAACAAGTGGAAAGAAGAAATAAATATAAGGATATTAGTCATCCAACATGCATGAGATTATGTTGGCTTGTATAAAGAACCTATACCTTAATAATCAACTTTGTGAAAATGTGGAAACTTCTATCTAGCTAGCGTGTAGCTTTCAACAGTGCTAATTGAAGAACTTGATTCCCAGCTGTATGACAAAGGAGGTTACATCAACATGACTAATGTAATTATATTGACAAATAAAGATTATTATCATATATACCAAGAAAAACAGCAATAAATTAAAGGTGCATAACATGGTATTTTGCTCGCTATTAAACACTTAAAAGTCAATATCCTAAGAGCTATTATTTGTGGACCAAAAATCATAAATGCCCGCATCACGGAAAAATTACCAAAGGAAGCTTCATTAAGAAACTATACTCCATATTAGACGCGTGGTAAAATTATTTACCAAACTGAGTTTGAGGGTAAAACGTCATCTAAAGTAGCGTTTTACCCCCTAACTGAAATGTTTGAAAAAAAATTCTGCCAAGGATAAAACGCTACCTTGGGTGGCGTTTTTTCTTCAACATAAAACGCTAACCAGGTTGGCGTTTTAACCTTCAACATTAAACGCCAACCAGGTTGGTGTTTTACCTGCAAGATACTACAGGCAACAGCCTGGTCCTGAAACCTGCAGGCTTCTTGCCAGCCTGCTGCAACTCCCACCACCACTTCCACCGCTAACCACCACTTCCACCGCTACCAACCACCACTTCCACCGCTACCAACCACCACAAAGCACCACTTTGTTCACCTACAACCAACAATTTAACAACCTTCATCCACCAGTTCCATAAAAATCATGAATACGTACAGTAAAGTTGATAAATGGAAAAAAAATCAGTTAAAAAAAGCCAATTATATTAATAATATTTGTTTGTATACAACGTACTAGAGAATCCGATTACAACAAACTAACAAAAGCAATTCTAAGATCCTGATTTATCAATTCGACGTAATTGCTCTCTATCAACTCGCGGTCTTCGACGATGAACGCACTGAGTTACAGTTCTAAAAGGATCTGGGGGAGGAGTTCTGAAAGGATCTGGGGGAGGAGTCTATTGGCTGGATGACGGTCCCTCCTGTGATAAGTATGGCGCAGACATGGGTACGGTGAAATCCTCCGGGATTTCACCAAACTGCGAGGACACTGTAGGGGACGAGTGAGTCTGTCCCCTACTACTCTAGCCTACCTCATGGTGTGAATGCTGTTGGGATCCTCCACCGTACTGTTGCTGTGATTGGTCCCGCCTCTAGATAAGATGACCATGACCATGTCTTTGTAAGCTAGTCATAGTCATCGCTTGAATTTCATCTATATGCGGTATGGTGGGATATGATATGCTCAAGACTCCCAGTGCATCATATATAGTCAGCATATCAAACGCCTGCATATGTCAACAATCAGTCAATTTAATAATATCAGAAATTATAAATTGATAAAAAAAATCCATCTAAAACTCACATATCCACTGATGTCTCCAAAAACTGGTTAATAATGAGTTGAGGGTGGGGTGTAGTTAGGGTTGATGAAGCGTCGGGTAATGCTCCTGTACCATACCGTGTATGGATCGTGATACTCCATCCGGCCTTGGAAACACCATCCACGACGTGCTGCAATCGCTCATCCCACATGTCAATGAAGGTGGCATGCTGAACTTCCCAGCTCATGTCCCCCTTTCCTCGTCGGTCGCAAGTGGACACCCGTATCATACGTGGCGGGGACGACTTGACTAAGGCCGAACTGCCACATGACTATGTCGGGGAGGTGAACCTCCACTACCTCAAAACAGATAAGGACTGTCATGACACGCCACTCCATCTGATGATCACAAAGATATGGGGGCATGGCATCGACTAAGTCAGCGACGTACGGATCCCACGTCATCTACTTTAACACGCCGTCAGTAACATCATAATTAACTTATTGAAACAATGAACTGGGTGTTAAATTAGTTTTTATAGTGTAATTGATCACCTGAGACTCGCTCAGTCTGTCAAATGCGTTTTTGTAATACGGTAGACTCCTCGCTGCATGCACACGAGCAAGTCTCCGCACCAACCACCAAATTATATATAATAACAGTGTCCATGAAAAATTATTAGCAAAATAAAGCAGTAAGTGGATAACTTAACAAATAAGTCATACATACCTGCAATCGTATGCCTGGTCTGGTGAAGGGAGTGGCGGAGCCTCATATGCATGCTCCCGATCGGCTTCCTCCTCATGGCCACCCTGCTGTCGGTAGTTAGCAGCCCTATCTGGCCTACCAATGTGGATGTGCTCCCAAGCCCATAACTGTAATAAAAAACACAAGTTAAGTTTAGTCATCGTTAAGTACGTAATAAATAAAAAAAGGTACAAAATTAAAGGGACTACCTGATGCACAATCAAGGGACCACCGATCTCCCATCTACCTTGCTCGGATGCTCTTCATAGATGGTGATACAAGGTCGCCAGACACGCACTACCCCAGCTGTAGTCACGTATTCGCTCCCACCTGTTCTCTAACAGCTGTAGGTAGATCAACTGTATGTGACTACCACTCTTGTTACTAAATAATGATCCTATCAACATGAACAGGTACGCTCGAGCATATCTCTGAACGACTCCATCATCAGCATCAGGAGGCAACACCCCAAATGTCTCTCGTAACCATATGTGTCTCAGCCATGTGCCTCTAATATCGGCGACCTCAGGCCTTACCCCTAACACCCTCTCAACAAGCCCACGCGGGTCCTTTATAATGGGCCCTGTCACTGCCCTACCACGTATTGGGATTCGTGTCAGTATCGCCACATCTCGGAACGTGACGATGACCTCCCCAACTGGTAGATGGAAGGAGTGAGTCTCCTGTCTCCATCTCTCAACGAGCGCAGTAATTAGCGCTCGATCTATAAGTGTGAAGGCCATCCTATGAAATCCGCAAAAATCCACAAAATCGATGTAATGTAGTACACGCGGGTCGACGACCCAATCTTCCACCCCCTACCAACGTGGTGCCTGCAAAGCAAGCACCGTGCTGTATCAACCTGTACAACAACAAAAGTTATATTGTTAGATCAATTAACATAAAAATTTCCAAAAACATAAAAGATTTATTAGATGAAAACTTACTGACTGCTCCCATATGTCACGACTCCGATGGGTGCCCTGAAGTGTCAAGACAGAAGGGTCAGCTGGTCCTGGGTCAACTCGTGGCGGTCCCTGATCGTGTCCCTCCATGAACTCTGTTGATTGCACAATGTAAAACAAGAAATCAGCTACATCCTAATTAAGTGAAAACATACACACAACATGTTATTAAACTAAGATATAAACTAAGACCAATACCTGTCACTGCACGTTCGTAACGGACAAGTTCTCTTATTGTGTCCTTCCTGATGACAAGACCACATTTGCTTGGTGGACGGTTAGTCTCATCCATTTCATTTTATATACGCTTCGACTTTGGCCGACCATGTCCTCGGACCATGCTCTCATCAGGAATGATTTTAGGCCCTCTGTATGTCCTCCACGTCGTCTCACAAGGAATATGCCAGAACTGTGGGACATAAGTATTCGCATACGCCTCTGATCGTAGGAAACTGTCCACCCATGGTTCCTTAGAAATTGAATACTTAAGGCACATGGCTAGAACATGAGAACACGGTAAGTGAAATATCATAGGCTTTTTGCATGTACATGTTCTCAAATTAAAGTTAACGGTATGCTTATGACCTCCTTTGCTGCCTATCCTCTCTCCCCGGTGTGTTTTTACTTGATATATACCACGCTGACGGCTATAAACATCCACTGTATGGTATTCTGCTTTTCCGTTATTCTTCTCCAAAATGGAAGTGACCTTAGGTGAGTATGCATATCCATCGGCACGCCTAGAAAATGAACTATCCCTTCTTATATTAAAATACTTGTTAACTCTGTGGAAAGTTAACTCGACTAGGGACATGATCGGCAGAAAACGAGCTCCCTTGAACACATTGTTAAATGTTTCTAAGAAATTTGTAGTACATATTCCATACCTACGACCAGCGCCATGAAACAAGGACCACCTAGGAAACGACACATCCATAATATACTGTAAGGATTGGAGACAAGATTGACCAATCGAACGCATATCTTCATCAATTTTTTTTCCTTGGCGTTGGTAAGCAGCAGCCTTGAACCTATCTCTCATTTTGTTATTCTTCACATGAGTCCTCAAGTTAGAGGCCATGTGTCGAACGCAAAATCTGTGAAAGGCCCGTGGCTCATGAAATCCAACGTTTGCATCACTCATTGCAACAATAATCCCAGCATGTCGGTCAGATATAACACATAGGCCATCCTGTTAAGTAACATGAACCCGAATACAGCTTAGAAACCCAGACCAACTGGAAGTTTTTTCCCCTTCAACTATTGCAAATGCTAGAGGAAGTACCTGAAAATTAGCATCAACACTTGTAGCAACCAAAAGTGTGCCTTTATATTTCCCATACAAGTGTGTCCCGTCGACAGAAAGAACAGACATGCAATGTTTAAACCCGTCGATGCAAGGCTTGAAGGCTCAAAACACTCATTCAAACACCTCCATGTTGCTGTAGTAAAAGCCTTCAACAATAGCTTTGTATTCCATAAAACTACAGTGCCCGGGTTTGACTCTTGGAGGGCTTGCATGAAAAAAGGAAGTCTGTTGTACGAACTCTCCCAATCCCCAAAAATTTCTACAATAGCTTTCTGTTTGGCATACCATGCTCTTCAATAGGGAACATCGGATTGAAATTTGTTGGAGATGAGATCTTGTATGAATTCAACTCTCAAACATGGATCTATCTGCACAAACGACTTCACATAGTCACAAATTATGGAGGAGTCCAAGTGGCGGTGATCGCTGGGCGGAACTTCATTCACGCAATTCTCATGATGTGGGCCCTTGTAAGATACGATCTTAAAGGCATGTGTGTTCAGATTTGTTTTTGTACCACGTAGCGACCAACCACACTTCCTCTTGCATTTAAGATGAAGGACATTCATTCTCATTCGATGTCACCGTGGTGTAGAATTGATTCCGTTGTATGGAATGCAGTTTCACCATTTCGTAGAGCACTTTCTTACAGTCGAAAATCATGCACTTTCTTACTTGATTTAGGTTTCTAAAAAAAAAACCTAAAAAAACCAACATACTTGATTTGAAATTTACATACTTGAAATTTACACACTAAGTATGTAGGTTTCTCAAAAAAATACCTATATACTTGATTTAGCAAGAATAATGTATGCTTCATATACTTGATTTGAAATTAAACAACATACATATAAATATACTTAAATTCAATAATTAAACAACAATGTATTATGTAGTTATACGTATTTCGCATACTTAACAACAATATAATACATAAATTGTAAATTACAAACATAAATTCCCAAAAAACATCATAAGCAAGTAAAATAGTTAAATTAAATACATACCTCAAATACGATCAATTTACTGCGTAAAAATGTTAAACAAAGAAGGAGGAATAATTTTTAGTGAGTATGATGAAGATCTAAGCAATGGGAAGTGATGAATTTGCTGCAAATATGGAGGATTGGGCGAGGTATGTGCGCGGGTTAGGGTTTGGAAATTGGGGGTTTTTTGTTTTTTGAAGAACAATGAAAAAAATAGAACCACACTGCCTGAAAAAACCGATGCAAAAACGCCAACCAGGCTGGCGCTTTTGGTACAACGGTAAAACGCCAGCCTGGTTGGCGTTTTTACCTTGGCCAAATTTTATTAAATTTTCAGTCAAGGTAAAACGCCAACCAGACTGGCGTTTTTGCCTTGACGGAATTTTTTTTTTAAAAAAATGGCCAGGGTAAAAACGCTACCCTAGATGGCGTTTTATCCTGAAAGCTTAGTTTGGTAAATAGTTTTTCCACGCGTCTAATATGGAACATTGTTTCTCAATTAAGCTCACTTTGGTCATTTTTCCCTACATCACCCTAAAAAGAGTTAACAAACATACAAAGTACAACTCATGGAGAAAAATTAACACATACTTTTATTATGTAATGTAGATTGAACAACGAGTTGTAGCGTTCATTCTTACGTGATACGAGTACTCCTAAAAGGTTTCAACATATATACGTATCCTTGATCGTTCAATGTAAAAAAAATTACGAAAACTAGTACATGTTGAATAATTTTGAGAACTATAGACATAATTCATGTTAATTGATTAATTTACTTAGGTAATAGTGTTGTGAATTAATTAATCAAGATTATTTGTGAAAATAACCTTGGTAGAAAGGGAAAAGATTTTCTTGGAAAAGAGAAAAACTCAACTCGGTAAAGAGAGAAGTCAAGCAGCCCGGTGTAGCTTGCTCCGCCCGGCAGGGCGCGAGTGGAAGGTGGATGGAAAGTCCACCGCCCGGCCGGGCGCGAGAGTAACGAATAAATTTGTTGGGTTTATCGCCTGACAGGGCCATCTCCGCCTTACAGGGTGCAAGAAGCAACTTCTGAATTTATGAGTTCACAGTCTGGCAGGGCCACCACCGCCCGGCCAGGCGCGAAAGGGTGCAGGATTTTGCATTGAGAATAGCCCAGTCGAGCGGCCGCGGCCCAGTCGGGCGCGGGACTGGTCTTGATTGATTTTGACGGTTATTCCTTCATGTTGCTTCAGTTTTTTGCTTCTAATATATATATTAAATACATATGTTGAAAGATACTTCAAGAAATCAGCTTTATTCTCATTCTCTTGAAACCTTTTGTACCCAATTATCATCATCTTAATTTACCAAATTTTGATTGCATTAGACCGCAAATATACTACACACTATTGTGGTTGTTTTCGTTGTATCTCCTAGTAATTTTGTGATCCCCAGTGTGTTAATTCAGGGTTGAAATATTACTTTGAAAAAGTGATTTTGTTCACGCCTCGAAGTGCAAATTTGTCCAAGTTTGTTGCTTTTTTTTTTGTGACCCGGTAATCAATTTCCCCAATAGTACATTTTATTTATTAATCAATAATCTAAGAAATACAAAACCAAAACCATCCTCAATCCTCAAGATTGAACTACAATTAAAAATCGACTATTGTAGTATCGAATGCTACGTGAACTGTTAATTAAGTACAAATCCGAGTAAAAACCTTATTAGGTGATTACTCTAATTAGTTCGATTTATCTTCTTAAAAATAATAGTAACACCTTAAAAGAAAGGGAAAAATAATACTTTGTACTAATGTTTATGTTAGATCTTTAACTTTCGCAGCTAAATAGAAAAAAGGATGGCATATTTGCATTATATTATTGGGATTTGAAAAAGAGAGAATATATTATCTCGTAATCTTTTGGTGTCAATCATCTTATCAATGCATGTATAAAGAATCTAAGCATACAATCATACAATTTTTCACACAAAGTCAATTTTTTTACCATAACATCTTCAATTCCTTTGTCATCATGAATTGGAGTAGAACTACCTTCATGCATTGCTATAATTTAACGTCTGAATTTCTTCTTTCTAGCTACATCAGCGATCTATAATTTTGATTAGTTAATTTCGTTGAAATTTGCTACAAATTTAATTATACTATGCCGTCTTTTTTTCCCACGGTATATATATAATTACTTCATCTTTTCATCCGAAATATGTACAATGAGAGGCAAAAAGTTGTGATCAAATTATAGACTGTTAGAGTTCGTATACATACTTAGTGATCGATGATACTGTAATTTTAAATTTTAAAATTAAAACTGGTGGACGATAAAGTACCCATTGAAAAAAGTGATACATAGATAATACACATATTGTAAGACGAACGAGGATTTAGCTAGATTCATTTATTTATATGTATTCAATGTTAAGACCATCAAAATAACAACATATGATTAGTTTATTTATAGAGTACTATAGTTGCCACATTATTGAGTATATATTATTATATTTCATGATGTTATTGTAAGTTGATGATGGAAAGAAAGCTAGAAGAGACAAGACATTATTTTTAGAAGCTAATTAAAGGCATGCATTAGTTGGTTGAAGCATATAATAAAGCTAAGATTGCTTTTCTTGTGATTTGATTAGAAAAAAAGTTGACTTCTCACCCACCAAAACCAACCAATGACGATTAACTAATTAAGGGCGCTGAAGTTGAAGTTGATCTCTACTATGATGATTATTAATTCTTTAACCACTATAAATTTTTCCTTACTTTGTAATTTCTTCATTAAACTTATGGAGTAATACACTAATACTTATAGCTAGTCTTTTCAATTTTATTAAAAAATATTTCTATTTCTATTTCTATTTCAAATAAAGGAATTTATGAGAGCATTATTATATTATATTATTACAGGGTGTCAAACAAACATTTCTTCTTCTTTTTTTTTATTTATTTATTTATTTTTTTTTTTTGCTAATATATTAATTAAAAAAGTTAATATCAATTGTAAAATGTCATTAGATTGTTTCAATATAAATATTTTTCAAAATATTAATTTTAGTGATATATATAGATACACATAGAAATCAGTGGTCAAAATTATGTGATAGCATATTAGCCTTTGGCATTTGACATGTTAAATCATAATGATGCATGAAAATTTTTGAAACGAATATATAGCGGAGTATTTTTATTCCATATTCTCACAACCTTTATGTGCAAAGTGCGGTGATGAATTGAAGGAGAAGGATATAAGGGACCAAATAAAAAATAAAAAATGTTTCCATTAATTGATGAAATAATGTACCATACGTAAATATGGTGATGCTGTAGCCAGCAATATAATGATAGTAAAAGCTGTAAAAAGTGTGAGATTATTACTACTTTGATGTGCTTTTAAGCTAAAATAAAACTTAACAATCAAGTTATATAAACCAGCTTTTAATTTATCCTATTATTTGCAAAAAGATTTGTGAATTTGTTGAGATGCATCATTACTGCATAATTAATTAACTAACTTAGATTTACTCGTACTAATTGTCGGTGGAATATTTGAGCCACCCTGCTTGTTTCTTGGAGTTTTAATTAGCAAGCTAGTATCCACTAGATACATTATACTTCATTAGTTTAGTTTATGCTATGTATTGTACTACTATTTTAAGCCAATTAAGGATGTGTCCAAAAAAAAAAAAAAAAAAAAAAAAAAACCTTAGAAGATAAGTTTCTTACAAAAAAAAAAATTTGAAAAAAAAAATTAAAAAAGGTACTCGATCTGTGTAGAGATAGTACTGATCATGAACCATTCTTAGCTAATCTTAAAAGTAAAAGCAATAATTTTGTAATTGTCCCTTGATACAAACTAATAAAGCCTCTCTATTTTAAGGAGCCCAATTCATCATATGGGAATATGGCCCATATGACCGAACAACCAAAAGGTCAACCCATATTACTCCTTTTTTTTTCTTTTTTTTCATACGAAGTATTAGCTTATTGAATATTTAACTTTTTAGTTATTACATACACTAAACAATTAATAATTAACAGTTATCTATCAAATATTTTTACACAACTAGGGTTATATATCAATCAGTTACCAATTAATTGACTAACAGGACCATAATGTCCCCTACATATATAGACTATAAAGTTTTATTTTGAAAATGCCATGAACATCCAATTTACAGTGACATAGTAATGGAGCAATTTAGGACCCAAAGTGGTTACAATTTGATGACCATTATATTTTGGCGCAATGAAGTTAATAGTCACGTTACTTCTATAGAAGGAGATCTAGAAATGTCCGTTAGTTGGTGGTGCATGCATGAAAGATGGATAATAATCATACTATCTGGAACGTTGTAGACTCTTTTTTTGGAGAATTTTGGTATGCTCTTGTATATTCTACTTCATTAGTAGTGTCGAAAGTATGGTTGTGCATACTTATGGGATGTATATATGTAGAATGTTGTAGGGAATTGTTGTACGTGAGTGTAGAACTCTTCATATTGAGGCTAGAATGTCCTAGAATTAGGAAGATTTTAGGCTTAGGAGAAGGTGGCCTATATATAGGCAGTAAGCTAAGGTTCAATTGTACCTAAACAAATGCAACCAATTTTTATCAATCACTTACTTGTGCTTTCAATCAACTTTCTTCCCAAAGCAAATATTTAGAGAGCTAAGTGAGGGAAACACACTAATTGTGTAATTGTATGTGCCAAATGAGTGGTTGTCGGTTTAGCATCACCTTTGAGCTAGACACAAGTTGTCCTTGGCTAAATGTGGTGCAATGGTAGCATTGACGGGGTGTGTTTGCGTATTTTTGCGTGTTATTTGTTGGCGAAAGCCTCACTTGATATAGAAAATAATGAGAGTTAGTTGTTGATGGAGAATAATGTGTGGATATACTATTGTAACTAGCTAAACTAGTCTGTATGTGACAGTGTATGGTGCTAGCTTAAAACAATAGCCTAATGATTTACATAATAAAGAGTCCTTTACCGCTAATGCTAAGAAGGCTAATTTATATCGTATTTATATACAATACGATGAGAGTGCAAATATTCTTTTACTTAAATATTATATCTCGATAAAATTATTTGTGATTTCGATTTTTAATAAAAATTTCAAAATTTAAAATGTCTCTACTTTTCTTCCCGAATTAGCCATCAATGCCGTTCACCAACTTATATAAATGATTAATGCATAAACAACAATGTTAGTTATGACAATTGATTAAAAGATTAATGTAGAGCTAACATTATTAGATATGACAATTGATAAAATGGATGTTATAGAAGTCGATAAAAAGATTATTATAGTAACGTTTTAGATCTGACAATTGATAAAATGGATTATATTACCTATTAACAATTGATGATATTATAATAAACTGTTCTGCATGCTTTGATTATAAGGTCGTCTCTTTTTTCTTTGGTGTAAGACTGTACAAGTGTAAGTTCAATAGATTTCAATAGTGTACCCAAATTCTTAGCTTTTTCGATAAAAATATAACAATAATCAAAGACAAGTCTATAAAGCTGCAGTAATATAAAAAACAAAATAAATTAATTTATCATAAATATGTACCTATCCACAATTGCATATCAGATTTTATCAAGCATAATTACCCTTAAAAAGTTCACACAAAATTGTCATAATTTATTTACACTAAAAATGTTGACAAATTTCTTGCCACTTTCGATGAATGGAAACTCAACCAAACTGATAAACCTTAGACTGCCAATGTGAATGAGGTTCCCACCATTGAAGAAGCCCATGAGCAGCCATCAAATCTTGTTCCTTAGAAACCACATTTTTAGTAACGAAAGCTGATGGTATAAGATGTAACGCCTCACCGTGATCTCTCCCTAATGCTCCCGATAATAAACTCAAAACCGAATTCTTTGTTGCAATCCTCTCAATTTTACCCACTCCCCATCCTTCCATCTTTTCGCGATGCTCGAAATACCCAATATACTCGCAACAAATTGGGTCTTTCGGGTTCAAAAACAAGTACGGGGTCCAAGAACTAAGTATTGTAAAAGGATCTTTTTGTTCGGGTGTAGGGTTGTTTTTTGTTCCATTTATAGCAAGAGAAAGGCCCGCATTTAAAACGCTACGAGCGATGCGGGCCCCATTTTTCAAATTTGGGTCATTGAGTTTCTCAATTGGGGTAGAAATGTAAGGAGGGTTAAAAAGATAAGTTTCTATAAAATATCCACGTCTAGCCAATTCTTTGCCCGCTTGTAATGCTATAGCCGCCCCTAAGGAATGCCCCGTTAGCCAAACCTTATTAGGGCCTACTTTGGCTATTATGCCCTCTATTGCTAGAAATGCGGCTTGGTATCGCGAGTCTCGTGCCAACCTATTTAAGGCGAGTTTGACATCTAAGTGGAAGTCCCGTTTTCGAGTCTCGGGTCTTATGATTGTGCCTCGAAATGCAATGACATACTTAGGGGGTGTACCTGTTGGATAAAAAATGTTCGGGATGTGGGGTTTGTACTTGTAAATGATCCCAAAAATGGACGAATCAATTGGATCTACTAGGGTTTGGAAGCATTTGAAATGGAAAAAATTCCACCAAATTGGGGCTAATGCATCATGCTTTGTTCGATTTTCTTGGCGATCTCTCTCTAGAACAAACACTCCTTGAACCATACATGCCGCAAAAGACCTCCTATGTTCCGGTAATCTCCTACAGTAATAAGGTTTTACAAGTATCAATACTCAATAACTATCTTTTATTGTTAGATTATTGCGTCTTTACTTTCTTTATGTAACAATTTTTTGAAATTTTTAGAAGGTATCGATAAGGTTGACATGCAAAATATTAAAAATAAAGTAAAACTTACTAAATTTAGAAGGTGATCATTTGATTTTAGGATGAGCTTAAATAGAAATGTAGTATCCAATCTTGGGATAGAGTTAAAACTACTTTTGGTAGCCTAGCATCAAATTAGCAACATTCTTCCTAATCTACTAGATGTCTCTACCTACCTTTTGTTATGAGAGAAAATGAGAATGTGATATCAATACTAAATCGATCTATCTACAGGATGTTCAATGTATAATTCTATTAATCATTAACTAGAATTATAATCTAGATTAGTTATCATATTTTAACTTAGCTTATTACGGTGAAAAATGTTAAACTTTGACCAATGTAATTAAAAGTGACTACTCCAAATTAAAATGCGATAGAACCAATATTATAGGAAAAAAAAAAAATGGTTAAATGAAATAATTACCAATCAACCGAAGTGAGATGGAGAGGGCCACAAATGTCAAAATTTTCTTTTTCAACTGGCTTTTTTTCTTCCTTCTTCTCCCCCTTCATTTTTCTCTTTATTCAACAACAAACTGTCAACCCTGATTCCAAAGTCAATGAAACATCACATTAGATTTTACATTAATTAAAATTAATCTGTTTATGCAAATCAACCCTTTCCTAATTAGTCATAAAATAATTTCATTTCCAATTAATCTATTATCATCACAAAAATACGACAAGCAGAGTTTTGCAGGTCAAAACAAGAAATTGAAGAATTTACGCATATTATGCAGGTACAATAAGCAAAATATAATAATTAAAAAAAACATGATCAATCAAATTAGTACATATAAGATCAAGAATTATATTAACAGAAATATAATAATAATAATAATAATAATAATAATAATAATAATAATAATAATAATAATAATAATAATAATAATAATAATAATAGTAATAATAATAATAATAATAATAATAATAATAATAATAATAATAATAATAATAATAATAATAATAATAATAATAATAATAATAATAATAATAATAATAATAATAATAATAATAATAAGATGACCAAGAAATTTACCAGAGAATGTAGCAGAGTGCCAAAAGCTAGATATGATGGAGCAGAGATTTTGCTCTATGAAAGAGGGCGGATATAATTCAAGGAGTATAAATCTAGTTTTTCAAATAGAAATAATTAAATTAAATTAAATTTTTTTTAGTGATTGACCAGTTCTATTCTAAGCTTTTTTAAACAATTTTTTTTGTTATAGAAAAAATGAAAGGAGAAAAGGCATGAAGTAAATTAATGAAAAGAGATTTGCTTCTTCTCCTAAGTCAAAGAAAGGAGCTTTTCCAGTTTCCAGCTAAAAAGTAACAACTTGTAAGTTTCCTCCAAGTGGTATGAGGCTTTAGACGCGGTAGCCTACTCGTTGGTTTAAATGCGAAAGTGAATTTCTACTTATGTGCACCCGAATGCAAGGAACATGGTTAGTTTCCGCTTATTTCATATTTTTTGTTATGAGTAAAAGGACCACCCTTGTATATGAAAGAATCTGTACATAAAGTTGTTCAACGTGTTATATAGATTTCTACCTCTGTTCTTTTTGTTAGTTGATCTTACGATTAATATTTATGAGCTTCATCGTTTAAATATTGTCTCTTCGCTTTCAGTGGCGGACCCAGGAATTTCCGACTGGTGAGTCACAATTGATAACCAAATATGTAAAAAGAAAAAATTTACCAAAATTCCCAAGAAAAATTATTTACAAAGATCATCCAAATAGAAAATTGACAAGATTACAGTACTAACTAATAATTAACAAGCTTAAAATTGACAAGACTAAAATTAACAAACTAATAATTAACAAGCTAATAATTGACAACATGACAAGCTTAGCTCTCTAATAATTAACAAACTAATAATTGACAAGATTAAAATTTGTACAAGCATTAGGTTCACATTTCATCAAAAACCCAACAACATTAACAAAAGGTTCAAAGTTAGTATTTTTTTTTTAAAAAAAAAACTTAGAAAATAATTTATTTATTTATTTTTTTTAAAAAACTTAAAAAATATTTTGGGCCCTGGTGAGTCATTTGACCCACCAGGCATAAGGCCAAGGCCGCCAATGTTCGCTTTATACAATTGAAAAACATATGAGTTTAAAATGATCATATTAACTAACTATTTATAATAAAAGAGAAAGTTTTGAGACGAGATGGTATCACATTAAATATTATGACAAGTTAAAAATTAAACTTGCAAATAAGTCATTGGGAATATAGGTTGCCCCAATCCCACACAAAATTTTACCAATGATAATACAATTTTAAAAAATCACACAACTCTCTCTTTGTAGTTACATGAATTTTCAAAATTAAAAAAATATATATATATATATATATTCCCCTGCATTTTTCCTTCATGTCAACTAAATTTGTAAAGTTGAGACTGCCAAAATGGATGGGGTTCCCACCATTGATGAATTCCATGAGATATCTTAAGATCTTGTTCTTTAACAATCATATTCTTAATAACAAATGCTGAGGGAATCAAATGTAGTGCTTCACCTTCTCTTCCTAATGCACCTGATAATAAACCCACTACTGAATTTTTAGTTGCAATCCTTTCAATCCCACCTATACTCCATCCTTCCATCTTCTCTCGATGCTCGAAATACCCGATATACTCGCAACTAATCGGGTCTTTCGGGTTCACAAATAAGTATGGTATCCAAGAACTAAGTGTAGTAAATGGGTCATGTTGTTGTGTAGTGTGCTTATTTTTTGTACCCTTAAGAGCAAGTGTAAGGCCAGCTGTTATAACACTAGTTGCGATACGGGCACCCGTTTTCAAATTCGGGTTGTTGAGTGTCTCAATCGGGGCAGAAGTATATGGAGGGTTAAAAAGGTAAGTTTCTATGTAACAACCTCTTTTAGCCATTTCTTTTCCTACTTGTAGGTAGAGGTGTCCACTGTGCGAGTCGTGCGAGCTGGGTTAGGGTTAGGTGGGTCGCGGGTTGGGGTTTCATGACACACGGCACGACACACGTAGGGTAGGGTGGGCCGGGTCGTGGGTTGGGTCGGAGAAGTTGGACACACCAGGGTTAGGTTCGTGGGTTAGACGAGTCGTGGGTGGGTCGAGCTGGGTTTGTGGGTTAGACGGATCGTGGGTGGGTCGAGCTGGGTTTGTGGGTTAGACGGGTCATGGGTGGGTCGAGCTAGGTTCGTGGGTTAGACGGGTCAAGGTGGGTTAGTGAGTTAGGGTGGGTCGAAGGGTGGGTTAGTGGGTTAGGGTCGGGTGGGTTTGTGGGTTAGGTGGGTTAGGGTCGGGTGGGTTTGTGGGTTAGGGTCGGGTGGGTTTGTGGGTTAGGTGGGTTAGGGTCGGGTGGGTTTGTGGGTTAGGGTCGGGTGGGTTCGTGGGTTAGGGTCGGGTGGGTTGTGTGGTGTTTTAATTTTTACAAAATTAACAATTTGATGGCTTGCTCTTAATTAAGATGCCTACGTATCCTTATATTATAAAATAAGGAATCAAAGCCAGCGTAGTTCTTATATTGTACTTCTTTTGAAATTTGGGGGGGGGGGCTTGGACCTATCTTTAGAAAACTAAAATTTAATTTTGCAATTAAATTGTAATTTTCGAAAAATAAGTTGCCTACGTATCCCGAAATAATCAAAGCCCACGTAGTTCTTAGCGTACCTGATTTAGACTTTTCTAGCCACCCATGTTTGTTGCATCATCATCCCCGGAAGCTGCATCATCCGTTGACGACTCCAATATCATCACAGGATCATCTTCATCGTCTTCGTCTTCCTTTAAACCTTGAGTTCTTCTTTCAGCTTGATCCCAATCTTTCTTACAAACACAAATTTGAATGCTTTCCGGAGTTAAGCGAGATCTTTTTTCATCTAACACTCTTCTACCTGCACTAAAAGCAGACTCGGAAGCAACAGATGAAGCGGGAACTGCAAGTATATCTTTTGCAATTCTCGCCAATATAGGAAAACTTTTTTTATGTTCTTGCCACCATTTTATAATTTGAAAGTTGTTGTTGGTCTCATGTTGATATGACAAATAATCATTAATAGCAAGTGTTGAAGAAGATGATGATGAGAATGATGTAGATGCTTTGTGTTTTTTTTTCATAACTTTATCAAGAAAACCAAATCTAGAATCGGAAGTGCTAGTAGTAGTTGGTGTTGCCAAATCAAAACCATAAATAGATGCATAATGATCATAAAGGTCTCCCAAAACAGATTTGCATTTGTTAATATATTCACTAACATCATAATCGATACTTAAACTTGTATAATAAAATTCTAAAAGATTTTCCAAACCTTCAGCTTTGACACCGGGGTCAAGAATAGCAGCAATTCCATAAATGATTGGAAATTCACTAAAATAAGTATGCCACTTACGTTTCATGCTATCAAGAACGGGACGAAGTCCATCAATCTTCATATGCTCTTCGATGGTGTGAACAACTTTAACACACTCAATTATGACTAAATGAACGTTAGGCTCATAAATATAAGAGAAAATATGAGTTGCACTATCAAAAGCATTTAAAACATCACGAACAAAAGAAGCATTAGTCCAATGACTTTCGGTTATTAACTCAGTAGGATCAACACGAGTCTCATTGTAAAGTTGGGTCAAAATATCACGATACTTTATAGCATCACTCAACAACTTGAAAGTAGAATTCCAACGGGTAGGGGTATCAATAGACCATTGTCTTTTCTTAAGACCTCTCTCTTTACACATAGCTATGTACTTTCTTCTAACTGACTGAGTAATCCTAATCCATTTTATAACTGTTCTAATTGGGTTTAGCAATGGTTGCAACTCAGCGAGACCCTCTTGAACAGACAAATTCAAAATATGAGCACAACATCTAACATGCAAGAGACTACCACCCAACAACAAATTCAACTCGGAGTCATTTTTCAAATAGTCAATACACTTTGTGTTTGCAGTTGCATTATCAAGAGACAAAGAAAAAACTTTATTATTCAAGTGAAATTCTTTTAAACAATCCAAAATACGAACTTTGATGTTAAAACCGGTATGCCTTTCTTCCATAGCTTGAAAACATAGTATACGTTTTTGAATAAACCAATCATCATCCACCCAATGAGCAGTAATGCAAAGAAAAGGTTCGCCAAAACTAGAAGTCCATGTATCACTTGTAAAACTAACACGACCATCAAAAGTACGAAATAATTCAATCAAACCACTCCTATACTTATAATAAGAAGTTTGTGTATAACGTCTTAGGGTATTTCAGGGGACACGAGTAAATGCAGGTTGTAATGCAACTTTATTAAAATGCTCAACGTTTGCATTTTCACCGTAACTAAAAGGGTATTCATTAGCAATAACTAAAGTACTCATTTCATCAATCATTCTATCTTTATTATAAATGAAAGGTGTACCTCCGCCGGGTTGGTTCATGTATCCACCCAATTGTGTTTGGACGCCACCCCCCGAAGGACGGGGGCCATTTTCGAACAAGTCGTGTTTATTTTGCAAATGCCGACTCAAGGTTCCGGTTCCATCTCCCGTTTTCCAATTATATGACTTGACATTTGCACCTAGCGCCTTGCAAACTAGGCATGTACACGTGAACCTCTTTGGTTGACCAGGTTGCCATCCCGGGGGTGTGACCTCAACTCGTTCAAAATGTTTCCACACCCAAGAAAAATGTGCTCGACCTCTACTTTCACCGCCACCACCTTTCATAAATCAAATTATTAAAATTAATTTTTAAATGCTATTCATGAAAATAAGCTTTTAAATTTTAAATATTTTAATTATACTTATTTAAACGCATTTTTCATGGTAATTAACTAATTGTAAATCATAGAAAATTGGAAACTAAACTAACTTTATAATCATTAATAATAGTTTTTTTAAATATTCATAACAATAAAAATTTAATTAGAAATTACCTTGAGATGAAGGTTGAGATGTTGGTTGCGATGGAGGTGGCATAGTTGAACTTGATGATTGGTGGGACTCGTGGGAGAAATGTTGTGGTGGAGACGTTTGAATATTTTGCCTATCTCCTAAACCATAATCTCCATATTCATTGACAAATTGGTTTAAATTTTCCGTATTAATTTCATACGAAAAATTTGCACCACCACTCCTTTGGCTACCACTTCGACCACCACTTTGACTCCTTCCCATTCCTCCTCTTGAGCTCATTTTTTTTTTTGTATGATTACTAATTATAATATGGAGAAGAACTTTTTTTTTTTAGAATCTTAAGAATACTAATAATAATATTAAGGAGATTTTTTTTAACAAAAATATAACTCTATATAACACTTGAGAATTTGAGAACAATAAGAATTTTTAAGTAAGAGAGAAAGAAAGCTTGAATTTGTGTGGAAATTTGAGTGAAATGGAATTGGTATTTATAGGAAAAATAGAATGGATGATCATACACTTAAAAAACTAGCCGTTAGATACAAAAAACTAGCCGTTAGATACAAAAAACTAGCCGTTTTTTTTTAAAAATGGATGTTAGGTCGTGCGGGCCGTGCGGGTCGTGCGAATTGTGCGGGCTGTGCGGGCCGTGCGGGTTGTGCGGGCCGTGCGGGTTGTGCCGGCCGTGCGGGTTGGGTGGGTCATGCGTGCGGGTTGGGTGGGTCATGCGTGCGGGTTAGGTGGGTTGGCTCGTGCGGGTTGGGTGGGTCATTCGTGCAGGTGGGCCGTGCGGGCTGGGTTGTGCCAGGTGGGTCGGGTTAGGTGGGTTCACGGGCTAGGTGTGTCGAATTAAATGAGTCAAAACGGGTTGTGCGATTTGGGTCGAATCAAACGGGTTAAACTGAGCTGGGTTGAAATGGGTTGTGTCGAAAATTTTGGACCCACGACACAACCCGGATTAAATCCGAGCTGTGCCGGGCTGTGCCGGATTGAAACCGGGTCGGACCCACGTGACCCACCAGCCGTGCGAGTTAGGGTGGGCTGGGTCCAACCCGGCCCACTGGCCACCTCTACTTGTAGGGCTATTGCTGCCCCTAAAGAATGCCCTGCTAACCAAACATTCCGTTGACCAAAATTGACCATTATGTTCTCTACTGCTTGGAGTGCGGTTTGGTATCGAGAATTACGGGTTAGCCCATTTAGGACGAGTTGGATATCCAAGTAGAGATCTCGTTTACGTGTATCGGGTTTGGTAACTGTACCCCGGAAGGCAATAACATATTGAGGGGGTACGCTTTGGAATGCCATGGGGTGATAGTTCGGATTGTGGTACTTGTACTCGAAAATCGCTCCAAATGTGGAGGAATCAACTTGATCTACAAGGATTTGAATGCATTTGAAATGGAAATAATCCCACCAAATTGGGGCTAGTGCATTGTGCCCTGTTCTCTTTTGTTGGCGGTCTCTCTCTAAAATGTACACTCCTTGAACCAAACTAGCTGCAACCGATCTTCTATGATCCGGTATTTTCCTGCAAGTAATTCCGCTAAAATTTAGATATGAGTTTATCAAATATCAACTGATCTTCTATATATGTTATATTTCACCTATACTTCATCAAACTTTAATCAATGTGTGACTCCATTACAATCACGTATTCAAAAGTAGACTAGATAACAAGATAAGTATCTTGGTGCAATCGGTATGCAACGAATCATATATCCAAGAATCATCCACTATAAAAACAGAATGGAACAATATGACATATTCTACTTTTAGCAACATTAAATTGACCAAAATAACACGGAGTATAATATATTTTACCATCCCTCTTCCCCATTTGTAATTTATACGAGTAACTTATAACGATATTTTCACTCATTTGGACCTAGGAAAGCATTCACATCTATTCACTAGTCAATGTTCATGTATACAAGTAATTAATAACTAATATCAAATTAAAGAATTAAGAAAAAAGTAAAGTACCAATCAACACAATTAAGGTGTAAGGGCCCACAAATGCCAAAAATCTCCTTCCCAGAGAGCTTCATCTCTTTTTCTTCCTCTTTATTGTACCCCTTCATCTACACCATTAGTAAGAACAAATTCAATTAGCAACATCACAGCATTAACTAATTAATTTATACATTTTTTGGTTTAGAGATAATCAAAGCAATCAATTATGCAAGTAACATATAAAATATTTCATGGACATTATTAGTTTCATGAATAATAATGGAAATAAAATCAAATAGGTGATTTATATAATTCAAACAAGAAAAAGAAGATTATAAAGTAAAAAAATACCTCTAATAAGAGCTTAATTAAAAAATACCTTGCCCTTAAATTTGGAATAGAAGAAGGAGCTTTAAAATGATGGTGGAATGAGCTTAATCTTTGGGTGTGAGTAGACTTAAATCTCGAGCTTAAAGAGCTGACTTGACTAATTTTGTATAAATTTTTTATAAAGTCAATGAATTTTGCCTCTTCTTCTCACAACCCAAGAGAGAGAGGGTCTTGAAGACGAGTTCGTTCTATTTACTCTCAGGAATCATAATGGTGAATAGGTGATACACTGTCAAGTCCATCATATTAATGGCATTTAGAAGTATGTTGTAGGCCTAAATGCGTATGTTTTGGTATATTTTAGGAACGGAAAGAGTATATATTAATATTTTTTTATTTTTATTTTACAAAAGCAAAGATACGAATTCTCATATCAATTTGTATCAATTTTAAAGGCACAACATTATTTTCAAATCCGAAGTATCTAGAATATAATAAGCATGTAAATGATAAAGAAATTTTTATGCACTTACCTCCATTTTTTTTAGTTGACACGTATTCTTTTTTAGGAAGTTTGTTTTTAGTTGATACATTTTCTTTTTGGGTAAGATCACACAAAATAGTGAAATACTCAATAAAAAAACTTGTAATTTCGTACAAGTTGCTAAAATGGAATTGAAGCATTTTATTATTATTATTATTATTTTTTTTTTTTTGTGAAGCTATCCTCTGGGACAGGGTATGACTTTTTACCATGTAATGGTATCATGACTTGTTTCAATTAGGTGGAGAATGATTGACTAAGTAGTGTATGTTAATTGGTATATAATTATAATTGATTAGCAAAGTCAATAGTAGCTCTTTAACTAGATTGGTTCTTTTATTTAAATACTAAGAGACAAGAATTTAGCCACATGAGGCAAGGTGATGTTACAAAGTCTTAGCTTACATGTTACACATGCATTTTTATAAGATTTATACAAGGTGGCATTACATTGGAGCTCTACATTAATTAGGAATGTTAGATAATGGGATGATTAATTAGGGGGAGGTGAGAAGTAGGTGATCTCAAACTTGAGACCAACCTTACCGTCTTAACCAATCTTGTTTCTCAAGTTCCTAGCTTGTATACTACTTATAGTTTCAATCGAAGAAGTGGAGCTTTGAAAACTTATGGTGTTAGGTTTGAATAAGACTACATTAGGGTTTAGGTTGGAATTAGATTACAATGTTGGGAGAAAAAGTGAGACACTTTTAGAGATAATCAAACTCCTAGCCTGGTCTACTAATTTTTTATTATGTACGCCCTCCGTTTCTTTTGTTTTTTTGCATTTTGATCATTTTTTTCACAAAAAGATTTTAAATGTAAAAAAACAAAAAGGAATGATGGGAGTACTATTTCATTATATTTTGTTTCTGGCCCGAAATTAAGGTGGAACCTCACTTTAAATAAAATATGCATGAAAAATTGATCAATTGATGAGATATCGATTTACACTGAGTCTTAGCTTTGACTATTAAACTATATATATAACAGAGATTGAGCAAACAAACAATTTAGTCTAAAAAAATCATTGACATATACTAAGTTGCAAGTAATAGACAATAATTGAATTGCCAAACTTATACATTACCCAAAATAATTAAACAACAATACATTTCGAATCATAGTAGTTCTTTACTTGCATTAGATCAAGGTTCGAATACATAAAGCTTAGAGTGGCAATATGAATGTGGTTCCCACCATTGATTAACGCAATGAGCTTCCTTGACACTTTGCACCACATTTTTCACGTTCTTAGTAAGCAAAGCCGATGGAATTAGATGTGGTGGCTCACCATCTTTTCCTAGTGCACCTACTAACATACTCATCAACGAATGCTTGGTTACAATTAAATCAACTTGATCCATTCCCAATTCCTTCATCCTTCCTCGATGCTCGAAATGGCCGATGTATTCACAACAAATTGGATCACTCGGGTTTACAAATAGGTTAGGGATCCATGAACACAACGACGAATATGAGTCATGTTGTTTTGTCGAGTTATTATAATTTTTGATACCTTTTTTAGCAACCTGGTAGATTCCCGCTGTAACAATACTTTTAGCAATACGGATTTTGCCTTTTAGATAAGTATTGTTTATCTTTTCTATCGGGGCAGAAGTGTATGGGGGGTTAAAAAGGTAAGTCTCAATATGACATCCCCTTTTAGCCATGTCTTTACCTGCTTGGAGTGCAATAGCTGCCCCAAGAGAGTGCCCTGCTAACAAAACATTTTTAGGACTTATTTCGAGTATGCCTTGTATCTCTTGAAACGCGATTAGATACCGGGAGTCTCGGGTTAGTCTGCTAAAGGGGAGTTGGATATCCAAGTAAAGGTCTCGTTTTCGTGTGTCGGTTTCCATGAGTGTACCACGAAAGACAATGACATACCTTGGAGGAACACCTTGTTGAGGGATAATTACACGGGGTTTGTACTCAAATATGGCTCCAAATATGGATAAATCAATTTGATCTATAAGAGTTTTCATGCATTGGAAATGGAAGTAATCCCACCAAGCTGGCGCTAATGCTTTGTTCCCTGTTCTTTTATTTTGGCGGTCTCTTTCTAACACGTACACTCCTTGAATCAAACTAGCTACAACTGATCTTGTGTGATCGGGGTTTCTCCTACACAAAAAATATTATATGATTCGGTATTAGCAAATATAGTTGATAATAGGTCGTACAAAATAAAACTTCCTAGAAAATTTAATTTTTACTATTATCAGTCAAACAACTTTCCTTTTCTTAAAATTCAACTTTCAATTTAATTATTATACGTCTGTCAATCAAACAACCACACACTAATGAACTGAAACCATGAGCAAACGAGAGTTTAGAGGTAACTACCAATCAGCTGAAGTGAGATGAACCGGACCAGAAATGCCAAATTCCCACTTAGAGAATATTGCATCACTATCTTCCCCTCTTTTCCCCTCCATCTTTCATATACAATTTCGCATGAGAAAATCCTGCAATGAAGTCTACACACAACTTACCATTATCATTAAACACTTAAACACACACTAACATGCAGTTTTTTAGTTTTAATTTTTTCGATAGGCAACAAACATGCAATTAAGCACAAGGTAAAGATTTTTGATGAACATATACACACATATGGAATTTGAGCACCTTTTCTTTTCATTTCTTTTCGTTTTTTTTCTTTTCTCTTCATGAAAACATATGCCAAAGAAAAAAACAGAGTTTAAAGTAAAATCAAGGAGTTAATAAGAAAAAAAAAATGTATATATATAAATATATAATATTACGTAAATAGTCTACACCCAAAAAAGAAAGAAAATACCTTAAATTTTTAGTGCATGGCGTTAAAATAAAGCAAGCCATTATCAAAGCTTTCTCTTGAGAAATATATATAGACCACTAGATCGACTATTGGTGATAGAGAAAGGACCTCCCAAGATGCCGTTAGAAATTGTATATTTGATTAGTTGATGACTTAAAGTGTGACATGTGTCCTTTTTTTATTTTTGTCATTTTTTGTACCTTTTTCTTTAAGCCTAATATGACAATATTTATGCACATTACACTTACATACATACACTTATGGACTTATTATGGTACGGAATATATATTATTGTATGGGCTTGTGTGGAAGAATGCTACTTCATATTGTTTAGAAATATTGTTATGAATTACAAAAGACACTATAAGTAGTTTCTTATTAGGGGTGGTAGAACACCTAACCTAACCCACAAATAAAATAAAGGAGGGATCTTTAGGTGGTCCTATCCCAAATAAACTCTCCCCTCCCCTCTAACTCTCTAAGGAGCCTTGACTGCTAATTTGATCCGGGTTGATATATATAGATATATAAGAGGTCAGGTTCTGATCCGATAGGACGCCTTCTCCTTACCTATAAAATAAAAAAAATAAAAAAAAAAACTCTATATAAATCCTCATGAGTAGTTTGGTTCATTTTGACATTCTCGTGAATAGTTAAGTCCCATATTTGATATCCTCGGATATAATAATTAACTAAAAAAATGCATTACATTGATTCAAGGATTATTTATGATGTTGAGCCGGTTCAACAATCTAATTCTAAAGAAATATGAATGTAACTATGTAATTGTTTACTTTTTAAGATTGAGTATGATATCTTTTTAAGAATGACAACAAGTTTCTTTAATAATTCATAAATAGAATCCGTTTTACAAATTTCTTTATTGCAACTTTACAATATTATAAGGCCCTTTTATACAAGCCTTTCTGTGGTCGCAATTCTCTTATTGTAGGAAATTATTTTGTGTGTACTTGATCAAATTGTGGCATGCATGCACCTTGCTTACTAAGCCAAATAACACCTTGCTTACTAAAATACAAAATAACAATAGTAACAAATAAAAACCATTACTAAATAATTGAAACATATTTACAGAAAATAATAGACAAAGCTAGGTCACCAAGCATTATATTGAGGCAGCAAATTGGAAATACATGCTCATTTCTTAAGGCACCCTATATTTATTCATTGAATCCCAAATTATATTAACAAAATTCGTCCTTTGGAAAAATTGGAGAGTCACATTTCTAATTATGGTTATAATAGGAGCTTAAGGTCACTATTTTTTCCATGATAATTCACTATCCATTTGTCCCTTGCTCCTTCTTTCAAAGGAAGAGAACTAGCAAATTAAAAGGTAAATTAAACTCAAGTGATAAATATATACTTTTGAAGTTTATCACAAATTCTTTTTTTAATTCTGTACATCGGATTATACATAGATTAATCATTATAGTTTACGATAAATCACAACATAAGCTTTGGGCACAAAACATGCAAAATTGTAGAGGAAGTATGAGCTAGACAACCTTGTATTCAAAGTGAAATACTCATAGAGCTACCAAAAATGACTTGGTAGCTTCATGCCTTCATGATTGGGTAATTGGATTCTCCCCTTAGAGCACTATAAATTAAATCAAACTAGCTTTAAAGACAAACAATAATCCAATTAACTCAAACTAGTGCATCACGAGTATTATACGAGTACCAATTTTAAAGACAGACTTCATATAATCATATTTATTATGAAGTAGTTATTAAAAGTGTAAATTGCAATTTTAGCTACGAGGAGCATGTTCTTATTGTACATGCAAAATAAAATTGGTTGAGTTAAATGGGTTTTTGTGTACATGTACGAATTAGTTTTTATATATATATACTCCCTCCGTCCCATAATATAATTCCTGTTTTCCTATTTTAGAGATTCAAAATGTTGTTTATTTTTCTATTTTTAGATAGTATGTAAAGACCATTATATCCCTACTTTTTTTTAACTTTATTCATTGTACTTTCTAAATTAACCTTGAAGTTTGCACATGCTTTGTACTTTTTTCTACTTTCTTTCTCTAATTTTTGTCTATAATTGTACTTTTCACTTTTATTAATGTACCTCATCCACTTTCTCCTCCTATTTCTTAAATAACGTGAAAAAACACAAACAAGAAGTATATTATGGGACGGAGGGAGTATATATATTTTAAATAAAATAGTTAGGTTAATTAGATAAGGAGTAATAGATACTTACCTTATATGACCCATTTAAGAATGACTCCGACCCAACCGTATTCAAATTTTGACCCAACCCATCAATAATCCGACCCACTTTCTTTTTTACTCTAGCTAAAAAGTGAAAAATCAATTAATCGAACTGAAGCCATATCACACTGTTCAGTTCAATTACTCGTCTCAATTTAGCAGGGCGAATCTCCTCTGAAACCCAGGTAATCCTCTCTCTCTCTCTTTTTTTTTAAATTTTTCTTTTTTTAATTAGTTCTTGTCTGCAATTATTGGGAGGATCCAAGAAATTATATTATGGAAAATTAATCAAAAACAACTGTTATTGTATGAGTCTATCTATGAATGATTACATGAATATATTGTTGAATTTTATGTGCCCTTTTCCTGTAATTTACATTATGATGTTCTATTTTCCACATAATATATTCTGTAAGAATTGTCATACTGCTAAGTAGTTTTTTCTTGGGATTTTTTTGTTTTGGAAGTTTGAGCATATAAATTTGGTATCTTGATGGGTATGAATGCTGAATTATGCTGTTTGTTAGAAGGGATTTATTGGAAAATGGAAGAAAATTATCGAGGAGATTTCGGCCCTTTTTGGTTGGGAGGAATTGGGAGGAAAAGAAAAGAAAGGAAAGGTAAAACATAGATTCCTATGTTTGGTTTTAAAAATTAAATGGGATTTGATAGGAAATGAAGGGAAATGAAAGGAAAGCTCCCTTCACAAAATCTTCCCTTTCCTTTCCTCCCAAAATTGGAGGAATTTGGGAGGAAAGAAAGAATTTAAATCTATTAAACTTAAAATTGGTTTTCCCTTCCCTTTCTTTCCTTTACTAATGTCATACCAAACAATAGATTCCTCTCAATTCCCTTCTTTTACTAATATCAAACCAAACATTAGATGATATAGTTTCTTTCCTTTCCCTTCTCTTCCTTTCTTTTCCCTTCCCTTCCTTTCCCTTTCTTTCCTTTACTAATATTGAACCAAACATTCGAGAAAGTTCTTGACTTGTCCTTATATTAAGTTGTTGGGCACATTGCATTGTTTTTGTGAATCATATAGGAGAAAGGATGTATGTTGTCATTGCCCTGCATTTAAATTACTTTCCAGACATTGTTAGCATTGGTTTTGAATTGTCTTAGTGTAGTAGCCATATTGAATTATTGTATTTCATAACACTGGTATAAAGGGATGAACTGTTTTTTTTTTTTTGCTTATGTAGTCTTTGATTGATTAAGAGTAAAATGATAGTGTGTTGGATCATCCATGTTAAGCTGTTTGATCTGAAGTTTGATTCTGTTATGCTAGCTCGTGTTTCGTTGCCTTGAGATAGACATGGACGATGTCAGTGTATCTAATAGCGAACTGTTGGAAACGACTGATTCTGAAGGTAATTTAGGCTTCATTTACAATGTCTGCTCATTTTATGATACCTTGTATCCTAAACCACTACTTTTTGTAATCAATGAAGAGTTCTTTGTGCAGATGATACAACCGACGTTTCTGATGACAAATTGCATAAGGAAGGTGAATCAGAGAGCCTTTCTGACATTGATGATGCAGAGGTCAGTGGTACTTGCTAATTTCACTGCATGACTCTACCATTATGTGATTCAATTTAGCTTTTTTCTGTTGAAAAAAAACAAGGCAATACTTTGGTGTTCTTCACTGGAAACTCACCACTGTCATTGCGCCACAACTTCCAGGAGTTAACATTGCATGAGGTAGAATTGTATCATTTATGAGGGGCAAGGGCAATGTAACAATCAACATCCAATATACTCTACTTTAAGTCCACATTTGTTCTCCTAATGTTGCTTTCCCATGAAGCCTATTTATAGAGAGCTCATAAGAGGATATTGTCGAGTCAATATTGGCCTTCTTCTGATATCCTGCCGATTGACTCTGTAATCTTGAAAAGAACATCAGACATTGACACTGAACTTAATTGTGGTGTGGCAAGCATTGAACATGCATTATCTTTTTTTTTTATTTTTGTCTTCCATATCCTCTTACGTTTGTGGGTTAATTTCTGAGGATTTTAAGAATTTTGAGAAACAATAGCAACAAGTTGATTATAACATATTATATGTTTTCAAGTGACATGTGTACATAATATACCTGAGCCTTGTAAATCAGTGTTTCTAATTGTCTTTTTTTATGCTTTTTCTACTGCATAATGTCCTTTTTGGTGACTAACAAATTAGTCCAATGATGAGGATTTTTTTAGGTTGGCAGCTACTTATATGATGAGAAAGAGAAGCATTACAGGAAACAAATTTGGGAAATGATGAATAAAAAGTATCTTCAGGTAATCTGATATTTTATGTCATCATTCACCATGTTGTCCATGTACTAGCTTCAATATCTATGGCTGAACATGTAGTTTGCACTAATTAAGGAAGAGATCATATTGATCAGTCTGATGTGGAATTGACTGTCACTCTTTGATCCTTGTTTACTGAGCAAAGTAAGTAATCTAAACACATTCATCAGCTTATATCTCTGTCTGCATGCAGGAACAAGCCGAAAGAGTTGCTGCAGCTGCTAATGGTACAAAATTCAAAAGGGTGAGTTCTTTCAAATATTTTGTATCTTTATTGCTCTTGCACACTTCAGCTCCAAGTGCTTTCTTGTCACTGTTTTCATATTTGACCAACTAGTGGAAATGTTTTCTCATAGATAACATGAACTAGAAATTCAATTTAATCATGAATTGGATAGTGATAAGCTCAGACCATTTCTTCAGGTCAAATTTTGTTTTGGAGGTTGTGAGCTTGGTCATACAGGATTCCAAAAGTTTGGAAGTAATACTTGGGTTCTGGAAATGTGTAACCAGCGATAGAAGGAATCTCCTGCTTAAAATGTAAGGATTTCTGCTATTAAGTTGTAATGACGTGTTAAAACTATCAAATTTTCACACGATTATGCGTGGAGATACAAATCGAGGCTCTAGAAAGCTATATACTTGTCTTTTTTTTAACACTTTTCCACATTCTTATTTGGGTGTGTGTGTTGGGGAGGGGGGGGGGGGATAACCAACCTCAACTATTGTTCAGGGTATGAGTGTATCCTATAGCTTTTTATATTAGCCTTGATTGATTTTTTTGGCTAGGATATTCTTGTAACGTCTATTCCTGCTGCTTATCATGGACAAATTATTTGCAGGAGCTCAGAAATAAGAGGACAACAGGTGTAAAGAAATCCCAGTCTACATCTAAAACAACTAGTCCAACATCGCCTAAGAAGGTATGTGTGCATTTTAAAAGAAAAGTTTTCCATTAAATTAACAGACTATGAGCCGCCATATTTTCACAAAAAAATGGAGCCTGCATTCATTTGTATGTACCTTAGTAATATTGTGAATTATCTGACTGAATGTAGAACTGTACCTTACTGACGCGGTTACTCATGTAATTTACTGTATTATGCCTGAATCTTATTTATGTATGATTGTTCTTCAGAGGCCCAACTCCAGAATCAATTATGACGCACTGTCCAAAGTCCTAGATGAACCTGTAAGTTTTGGATTTGTTAAGTTTCGCTTTTTTTTAAAGCTTGGATTACTATGTACATTTCATATGTTATTTAAGAATCTGGTCATGGTAGAAAGCTCTGTAGGCCTGTAGATTCTTTTGAACTCCTTTTCACTTTCTGGTTGTTTTGAATTTTCAGGGAAAGGGGGGATTATCAGAAAATTCATCCATTATGTTTCATCTTCTGGCAATGATTTTTTTTTTCTTTATTTTTTTAAAAGTTTTTTGTACTGTTGATTATTATGTACTATAAATCACTGTCTTGATTCCTTTATAGCAACATCTTAATGCTCTGCTTGCTTAACAGCTGCCTTCAGATAGTTCAAAGAAGAGGCGGAGTGAACCAACTTTGGACAAACATGTGGGCGAAAGTTCAATTGGAACTCAGGTGAATGATGATGCAGGAAATGAAACCGAGGATGAAGAAAATGGCCGGGAAGATCATTCAAACTATTCAGAATATAACAATCAAGAGGATGAGTACGACTACTATGATGATAATGATGATGGGTTCTTTTAAACTTCTTACTTAGTTTGGTTTCCTTGAAATTTGTAAGGAGCCTTAAAGTCTTGTACTTTGGAACTATAGTGTAGATTGATATACACAGGAGAAAAAGAAATAGGTAACATGGCCACCATATTATGGCATATTATTTGTCCTTGCAACTCTGATTGTTGATGTTGTTTTAAAGTTCTGTTGAGGATCTGTTGCACTTTTGATCATAGAAACAAAGTTCTGTCTAAGGCGGGGCATTTTTGAGTGATCTGTGGCTTTGATACACGGATATGCCTTATAATCGTTGGTGTCACAATTATAAATTTGGAGTTTGTTTAATGTCATTATATTGATATGCAATAACCACAACTACCACACTTGGCAATTCTCTTTTTGGTATTCCCTGCATTTCTAAAATTCTCAATTATGAAATTACCTTTATACGAAGTATATAGAACTACAAATCTTCTGTTCTTCTAAGAAAACTTGCATAACAATACTCCCAATACTCAAGGAGGTTCTACTATAACATGATACCTAACCTAATACGCTGGAAAACCAAAGCCCTAAGTAATACAGTTTCGGAAACCAGCAGAATGAATAACAAGCCTTCGAGTGAAAGCAGCTGGTTTTTTAATTGATGTATGAAGTAAGTTTTTTATACAGAAAATTACTATCTAGGCCACGTATTTCAACAATCTATGAGAGGTTTTGAATGTATTATAAATTAGTGATGCTGATAATTAATATTATGGTGATCTTCATATATATTACCAAAAAGCATATGTACAATGATAAAGAGTTGGCATTCCACTCTGATACAAGGAAATTTCATCCAGAATCCTTTACATTTTATCTCATAATTCTGTCCAAAGCTGCATCGCATCTTGTTGCTGGCACCAATTTATCAGGGTGAATCTCCGACTGTTGTTGATTGATATGCTACTTCATGGGCACGTAAGTCCTATTTATAAGTCAGGGTTCAAACTCCATTGGCTTTATCATAAATTAAGGATGCATACTTGGCTATAGAATCTTCAGGTGATTGACGAAGTTGTGCTACCACAGGAAACAGCTCTGAAGCACGAATGCACTGCCTGCAAGGTGAGTGTGCACACATTTTCGCCAGAGCAAAGAGAACAATTTTCAGGGGAGACTCATTCACAGCATCCCTTCTCGGAGGATTCAGGGCTACTGTAGAGCACTCTGAGACCACCTTAAGTAAAGCCTGCAGAATTGTAAGCAGATATGAAAGTGAAAATTATTATTTTAAACAGAAATGCAATAAGTCAAAGCATATGTTACTTGAGGAACCATTATGTATTAACATAAATACTTGCAAAACAAAACAAACTTGAGTGAGAAGATCTCAGAGTAGCTTTTCATTGACATTTCAAAATCATATTCTAACATGATTATTCTGCCCTCTATATTGGTCTATAAAGAAGCATATGCAATTCAACAATATATATATGTTTCATATTGATAATAATGGATTTTTAATATGACACTATTTTTATGGATAATTAGTACAGGAACTTTTTTAATACAACTAAACCTGTAATTTTTTCTCCAACCTTATTCAATTGAGAAACACTGAAGTCTGAGACACCAAACAGTGAAAAAAGTCCAAAATTTACTTCCTCTACTCTTCATTATATCCTCTCAATCACCTTTTCTAATTTCATATTATTCGTCCCTATGAAATACCACAACAATAGAACCTTCCATTTTTATATACCATTGAGATTTTACAGACATTTATTAAAAAACAAAAAACATTATAACAGTATTAGCTATGGAAGAATAGGTTCTGCACGTATAATATAAAGACAATTGTTAAAAACAAAATGGGGCAATGAGATTCGACCAGTGTCATTCCTTCCTCTTAAAGCCCACTCCCCAACCAGACCAAGACCAACAGTTGCAGATAGAATAACCAAGAACAACCTTAAAGCAAGCATATTATTATTAAAATGTAATGAACCAAACCTGTATAGCACCATTAGACACAATGTCTTCGCAGAGTTCATTGGAATTGCGAATGAGATTGCTTAGAGCACCAGCAGCATTAGCTTTTGTCTTATCCTCCTCAGGAGAAAGCAGCAGATTCGTTAGTTGAGGTATGGAACTTCTAAGTCCTTCGTACAACAAATTATTATGGTAAGCTGCATTTCCAATCTGAAACAAAAAAAAAGTAACATTCATATCATAGAACTCTGACAATACAAAGATGGTAGTCAAAAGTAAATGTACACTAGTGGCAGCAGCTATGTAAAGCACGATAATAGTTGAAACGGACAAAACTTACAGCAAAACAGGCAAATTTCCTAGTACGCTTGTCTTGGTCAGCACATCGATCGATGAGTAGACTGATGATACCATGCCTTGCCTAAACATCAAACAATCAGGAAACACACACTAACACATATGGAATAAACTATTAATTAAAGAATGCCAGGAAGAAAATCATGCCATCACAAATCATTTAGCTAGGAAGGAAAACCCTGTTAGCATAAGGATTGATTGACATAAAAATACTAAAAGCGGCAAGTTCCAGTCTAAAACCTACCAGTGAATCATAAAAGTAAGAGCTATATCGACACATATTTCCTAAAGCACTGCAAGCCTTTGCACGTAAATCAGAATCTTCAGAAGTGAGGAACTCCTTTAAGCGTGTCAAAATGTTTGCCTTGTCGATGTATTCATAGAAACCCTGCAAAGCATACACAACACAATATTTGAATCCAGACTATATGTTATTTCTTTTCTCAACAGATAAGGACAATCTTAAGCTGTCATCTATGCATACATTTAAGACTTAAGAGGGATGGTGAGAGCTTCAAACAATCAACAAAACAACTACTAGTTTTTTAAGTTAGGAAAAGAAATTTCTCATCTTTTAGTTTAGTGTGCAGATTTGTATTCTATAGCCCAAAAGGCCCCGAAGAGTAATAGTTATGCTTTGAATGAAGGCATTATGTCAGTTGACGTATATGGCAGTCAAGTGTGTTCCAGAAGACATTATTTACTCAGGAAATAATGTTGGGGAGCCTGAGCACAAGGCAAAGCTAGGCCCCAGGCACATATTCCATATTCAAAAGACGCAAATAAAATAGTTATGAGTCTTATGACACCACCCTGCAGATTGTGGAGATGGTAAGCAGAAGTTTCATTTAAAAAAATTATCATATGACAGCAACAGAATCCATGAACTCTTTCAAGTAAACAAAAAAAAGAAAAAGTAACATGACTAGGTCTCAGAAGATCGCCTCAAGAACCTTTTGATACATTTAATGCAATTTAGTAGAATCGCTTGATCTAGTCTCTAGAGCCATGAAGTTGTTAATCCTCTAGCATGTCAAGTTGACAGAGCCTAGTGTCTCAGGTGAACATTTGCGCTTTCTAAAATACTGGTTCTACACTTATACAACAATCTACAGGCAGCAATTTGATATTTATGAATAGAAGCTGTAGAACTGAAACCCAATGCCAGAATAATTCTTCAAATAAACCACAATAAATACAAGAATCTGATTTTGTAAAAGAGATAACCTTGTCCATGCGTGCTAGTTCAGAAACTATCATGAGAACATCCAGGATGACCCCTTTAGGACATGAACCATCAAACAATCTTCTTATTCTGGAAGCTTCTAGCATCCCCTTCCCCACAAGATGAATGGCTAATGGTTTATGGCTGGTCATTTTTGCAAGAAACGCCACTGGTCTTTGCATGTCCTTCAACTCCAAACCATCAGCACATCGCAAAATTATGATAGGTATCCCTGCCTGCAACCAGGAAGAGAGAAAAAAATATGAAAAAGTTAAGGGAAAGCATAGAAGCCAAAGAAGGAAAATTGGCAAAGCTTTCAAGAAGTTGCTTTGATATGATATACTTCATACTTGATGCTTATTTCTAGCAATACTGTGAAAGATGCATAGACAGCAGCTAAACAACATATAACTCATTACCCATGCATGTGCAACAGTGAAAGAGTCAAAGAGATACATTCATTTATACTTTTTCTACTAATGCACTCCATGTACTGCAATGAGTTCATGGAGAACAGCAGTAAAACCACATATAACTCATTGCTCATGTACGTGAGCGTGATAAGTATTCTTCCTACAAAAAGACAAGTCATTCATTTTCATTCTCAGTTCAGAACATGCAGGATAATGGAAACTACACATATAGATTATCAAAAAAAGAACCATAAATTTGCTTCTGCAGCAATTCACCAAATAAGGTAACTCACAAACTAACGTTCAGGAAAATAAAATAAGACAAACAGCCGCACATTTAAGAAAAAGAAAAGGTAAAAGATTATCTAACCTCTAAAAGAATCCTTATGTACTTTTCCATGTTTTCCTTGATTGCTTTCATAATCTCTGAGTCTTTGCTGCATACTTTCGCACCAGGTGAGCCTACATTAAGGAGATGCCCACTGCTCATGGAAGCAGTGGTGGATGGCAAACCAGTAGCACTTTGAACAGCAACAAAAGGAAAGGCCAATAAATCTATCACAGCATTTATAATATCCCTCAATCCACTCTTTCCCCCACCAGGCCCCGCCCAAGTTTTAAGGAGCTTCAGATGAGCATCAGAAACCAAGTCACGAATGCATTCAACATGTTCATTCTGCAGTAATATCTGTCGAAAAGTTGCAGAGCCACCTGGAAGGCAATGACTTAGGCAAGAAATAGCCCACAGAACTCCAATAGGAGATAGCCCAACTCGATCACAATCTGCTGCATGAGAATCAACAACAGGATTGTTGCCCAGAAAATCTATGAGAAGTTGTGGGAGTCCACTAGCACAAAATTGTTGGACAGCTAAAGGTCCTCCCAATTTTAATCTACATTCAAGCAAGCCAACATATCCATCCCTCAGCCCATGCCAGTGAGAAAGCATATATGTGGCATTGCAGTTGCCCTCATGCTCAACTCTATAATTCATTTTGAGAAGGTCACAAAGAGTAGCAGTTCGAGGGATAAATGGCATTGCAATATCAAATAATGAAGACTCAGTTGAAGTTCCAATCCCAAGAGATAAAATAGATGCATAGGCTAGCATGGCTGATGCACAATGAGGGTGAAACGAAGATGGAACTCCATCATCACAAGAAAAAAGTTGAGCAATTGATGAAAGCCTTGCCTGCTGTTTCTTTGAAGAAGAAGTCAGAATAGATGCTGAGTGTCTTTTCCCATGTGACTTGAAAGATTGAGCTATCGTAGAAAGCAGCAAACATGAATGTAAAGCAAGCCCATGAGGATTAGCCAATTTGCACTTCGAGCCATTAGCTTCACTAATTTGTGAATTTTTGTTCAAGGATGATCCGCAAAGAGATATTATGGAGAATATCTCAGAAACAAGCGTGTGATCCCCTCCACCACTTACCTCAGTTGTGCCAGGCAAAGAACTAGGAGGACCACAAAGCACACTCGGAACTAATCCACTGCGCATAGAACACCTCAGTAGAAGCTGGAAAAAAAGGAAACTTTGTTATCAGCAATAAACTCCCAGTTCACCTAAAGGATGAAAGAAAGAATAATGAACCAAAGGCTAATATCAAACCTGGATACCAGCAAAGAGCACGGCTTCATTACGCTGACGAAGGCAGTATAATATAGCACAGTGAACTGGTTTGGAATCTAGAAATGCTCTCGTAATAGCATCAAGAACCTTCTCACAGTCAGTTCCAACATCTGGAGACCTGTCGTTCTCTCCGATATCAAGTCGGACTAATGAATGGCTGCGCAAAGAAGTGAGTGGAAATGTCCCAGATTTGTCTTTGAGGGAAAAAGTCTCCAATGCATTAATTAAAAACCAAAGAGCTCTGCACCCTTCTGCAGCAACACGTGACAAATTAGCGGAACCTGAAATCATACTTGTTCCTGAAGCTGCTAAGCACACACAAAGGTGATCAACCAAACCACTTGTTTTGGCATGATCAAGAATTTGCTTCAATATATCAATAGCTTTAGAAGGTCCAGAAGGAGAAAATGTTTTGATAGCCGAAGTAACTTGATTTAACATGACTGCAATAGAGGAGGTAGATTCATATAGAACTCTACCACTCGAATCTTCAAAACTACTAACAACCTGTCAACAAAAAATTTCAGATTTGAAAACTCACTTTCAGTTAGCTGAAGTACTTACATAGAATGAAATGGACTAGCACAAAACAATATGCTACAGTATTCTTTAAAGTAATTCCACTTCTTAAATGACCACATATCAAGCATAAAGACATATTCTATAACCTTGCCAACAAACAAGGGTGACATAATTTTGACAGATCAATAAACTTACCTCATAAGGTTGCAAGAAATTATTCAAATAAAAACTCGATTAATAAGTTGAATAATAATAATGAGAACCAAGAAAAAGAGAATATGTAAATTTCTTACTAATTTATAAGCAGTTGATTGAGAATATAACAGCATATGAGAATAGACCTAACAACTATACCGATTAAGCACCACCAACCTAAGCAATTAACTTTTACAGAGAAGCTAAGACAAATCTTCCAGCATAGAATAGCGCCCCCCCCCCCCCCCCTCTCCCTAAAAAAAAATAAAAAAATAAAAAAAAATAAAATAAAATAAAAATTGCTCCAATATCTAATGCAATTTACTACTTCTTCTGTTTTTTTTTAGTTCACACCATTTTACTTTTGCACTGTTCAAAAATTACACTTTGACTAGCTTTTATGATTTATAGTTACGATAAAACATAGTCATGTGGGATCTTGTTTGAATCGTCTCAATGTATATTTTATTAATATCCACTTTTAATAATTTTACAATATCGATAATTAGAGATATTAATCGTTAAAATAGTGTTTTGGCAAGCGTGATAATAAAAAGGTGTCAACTAAAAAAATGAAGGTAGTATGACTGAAGCACAACACCAGAACACCTATCGGCCAATGTTCTTTGGTATAAAAAAAAACTTGATACATAAATACACAAGTGGCTTCAAAATGGTAAAGCATCTTTCTTATACATGCTATAATCTCACAAGTATACAGCTGTGCAAATCCATCATTAAGCTAAAATGTGAACAAATAATCCCATGCATTAACTTTTTAAAACGATTTGTATCAAATGCAATGCTTATAAGTAAATTAATCACAAGTTATTGCGTCAATAACATGTCTAAAAACAGTAAAAACATGCTGGAAATTTAGAAGACTACCTGTAAAAACAATTCAACAAGCGCAACCCACTGGGTAAAAAATGAGCTCCCAAAGCTGTCCCCACCACCATCAATTAATCTTCTAATAATCAAGAAACTCTGCACAGACAGAAAGCACTCATCAATTATGGAATTCTGCTCATGAAAATAGAGTGGGGAGAGAGAGGTCTCTATATCTGATGAGATGCAAGAACATATATTTAAAAAAATGAAATTTTAAATCAAAGCTAATGATTTTGTTAGATGTTAAATATGGCAGAAACAAACGACTTCCAAAATCAAAAGAAAATCACTAGTCAATTAAGTCTGTGCTTTTGGGTCCGTAATTAGTATGTTCTTCCCATGAGTGTTATGGAAGCAGGGCCTAAAAAGCAACATTAAACTGAATATGTGCACAATTGCACATAAGAATGCACAATAGCACATAAGTGATAAGAATACATAATAATTCAGGATACTCATTGGTATTTCCAACAATGTCCAGTTACAATGATGCATATGAGTATATGAAAAAAACATTCAACCAATAATTAGAGCCAAAAGATTTGTGGATTGGTATTTGGTGCATATAGATGCAAATAATTAAACACTTTGACGGAAGAAACTTTTCAAGAAATCTAGAACATTTCATTTCTGAGAACAGGAGCTGTTAATACTCTTTTGTAGATGTTGGTGTCTAGTTCCAATAAAGAAAAAACAAACATATACCTTAGCAATCAAGTCATAAGCATCGATCTTTTTTTGGCTAAGAAAAGCAGAAGTCAGTCCAAGAAGCTCAAAAATTATTTCATCCCGACTGGTATGTGTGACAGCATCTGCTGCAACTAAGTTTGAAAGTATTCTCAGTGACTGATTCAAATTCAAAATGTCTTCCTTCCTGCCAAAGTTAGAAAACAGAATTTATTGTTATATTGCATAAAGCCATATCCAGCAAGAAACAATTTTTTAGCACATCTAGACATCTATCTCTAGTGGCATTCCCACTAAGGCATGTTGTTATTCTGATGTTCAAGATGTTGAAGGCTTGAAGCTACTTATAAGAATATTTTTTGTTTGATAAAAAGTAAGAAATAAATGCATTTTTCATTATTACAATTAATAAAAATCTTGTATAATTACAACTAATGCTATTGACGTAATCAAATGTGAACATAAAACAAAATGAAAAATGTTTTTAAAAAAAAATTAAAAAAAAAAAAAACTCAGATAACTACTATTCATATAAACCTTGTATAAAGATTATAGAATAAACTAGACCAAATTTTGGTCCAACAAACATATACCATCAAATTGAAGCTATGACAACAGCAAAGAGGTCAAAAATTCCTTTACCTGATAGAGTTCCCCATTGCTTTAGAAAAACTTTTAAACGGTTCCAGAATGAGTGCCAGGGCCTCCTTTTTTTGGCCTATCACTTTTGCACCTTTGACAGTGCGAGAACTGTTTTCCAGTCTATCTACTGTTTGACTGCCTATATAAAGGGTTCATATACTACATAAGTGAACATAATAGATAGCTACAAGTAATAATAATGGCAGTTACTTAAAACAGAAAATATTCAAAATAGATACAAACAGTAGCAGCAAGTTAATGATGCAGTATACATGTCAAGTGTATGTGTATGTGTATTAAATATAACAGATTTATTAGTGTACCACTCCTTTAAATAAAGGTGGTAAGGAATGATATTTACGAGAAGACATAAATTTGAATGTTATCTTTTCAGTCGAAATTGAATTGAGAGGCAACATGTACTAGATTCAAAATAACAGACGTAAGGTGCTCATATGACCAAAGAGATCCCATTCATATTATATGCATCAGCAGCCAAACAATAATTAAAATGAATTCAGATTAAAAATTTTGTCAATAGGACAACTGAACTCTAGCATAGTATGATAAGATTATAGTAACCTGTAGGCTCAAGAGATGGCTCTGTCAAAGCCATGTCGGACTCATTTGGTTGGTCATCACGAAGGCCTGATGAATTTTCATTATCAGAAGCACAAGGAGTATTATTTATACCTGTGGCAGTAGCAATTAATACAATTCAGAAAACCAGGATTGGCTAACAAACTAACAGTAAGCTAATGGTAGCAGATTGATGAACATGATGAATGATAAGGCCTTACTTTCAGGAGTGATCGTGTTAGAGCGCACTGGCAGGGGAATATTTGGAGCTTCGCCTTTCCGAGAAGCTACGCACCCCGTTGACAGGTTTGTAGGAGAATGCAACTCCTGAGGAAAAATTAAAAGAAGACCTATATTAATTTGCTATAATAACTTGAAAAATGCTCCACAGGCAAAATAAGACTATCGTACCCTAGTCTCCAAGTCAGCTGAAGAATCTTTAATAAATGGGTGCTCAAGAAGGCCAGGCCAAGAGAGCCTTTGTTGTGGGACCTGATTCCCAAAAATATTAAATAGAAAAAAATCAGCATATGTTCCAGTCTGATTATTCAGAGGACTAAGAAGAAAAGAAAAGTAAGGATGTAAATAACCTTATTAAGTAATCCTTTCAAGAAGCTTTTAAATTCTGGACTCATATTTTCCGGATATTTAACTGGGTCCTGCAAATATAAGGTAATAAACTCATGTTTCTGCAGGGCTGTAATTTTATATTCCTGATAGCATCAACTAATTATAGATGTACCTTGATTATATGCCGTATAAGCGCATAAACTGAGTTGGTATAAAATGGAGGTTGGCCTACAAAAAGTTCATACCTGGTGCACTGGCAAGTTAGTAAACTCAAGCTTGATCAACTTACTCCTACACATAATTTTAAGGTAGGTTGTATGCCAATAACATCATTCGGGGGGTTGAGGTGAATTGAGTATGCACAAAATTACAGCAAATTAATGTCGAGGTACGCACAAAATCACTCCAAGAGACCACAAGTCAGCTGTGTGATTGTATGGCTGTTCGCGAACAAGCTCAGGAGCCATGTACAACGGAGTACCTGAAACAGTCAGATGCATAAATTGAGCAAAAGAGTTAACAGTAAAATAATTTGTGAATAAAAGACCAACTTCTATAACTCCTTTTCTTTTTGCATTCTTTGGACCTGATGGAGAGTTAACAAGGGTTTTGACAATGTAAAAGAAAATCATCTGAAGAGCATAAACAGAAATTAAGTCCACAGAAATACAAGAAAAAAGTATTTGCATCAACCATAATGAACTTGGAAATTAGATTACTAGCAAAACAAACAAATCACAAAGCTGACCTTTGATGGAGCGAAGTACAACAGTGTTCATTGACATGGCACGAGCAAATCCAAAATCACAAAGCTGGAGTAAAGATGAAAAAATATAAGATAATGCAAAGTTCAGAAAGGAAATTGGCAATACAGTCATTACTGAACATCAAATGTTACCCAATCGCCTAAACAAAAGTGATCACCCCCAACAAGGTAAAGGGACTAGATGTCTGAAGCCTTACCCCTATGCTTACAGCTCATAAAATTATGAATTGTTTTCAATTGACCTTTAACATGAAATGCAATGACAATTAAAGGCTCAAAAAATTACTGAGACATTCCAAACAAGTACATTATGAGCAAATAGTAAATCTTTGTCTCCAAATTGGACAACTATGGAGTTATAGTCATATCCATTAGACTATGAAAATATAAATATAAACTATGAAAAGCTCAGAAAATAATGATTCTTCAACAATAAATATAAATTACCAAAAGAAAATGAGGGTGGAAATTATGAATAGCCAAAAAGCCAAAAGTAAATATCATACAAAAAGTGAAGTAAACAGATAGCTCCTGAATACCTAACCTTAACAATGGAGCCTGAACCAATAAGAATATTTTGCGGCTTCATGTCCCTGTGAATAATTCGGTTGGAATGCAAGTAATGCAGTGCTCTCACCTGAATATTTGACCAGCAAAAACAACCATAAACCTATTCATTCACTTCAAGCAGAAATCTATCAAGCATCACAGGGTACTTCAGTTCTAGGCTTCTAGCCTCTAGGGAAAAATCGAAAATAGAAGCTGAGAGCCACTTTGAAGACAAAAATAATGAATAAACTAAGTAATGAAATTGTACCAACTGCTTTGCAATTGCTTGAACTTGTTCTTCAGGCAGACACTTATCATCCTCAAGAACCTCAAAAAGTTCACCCTAGACAATAAAAAATGAAATCCATCACACAAAAATATACTGATGAAACACAAATTATTTCAGGTCAAACACTATTCTTACAGACAATTGTGGCAATGACATGCACTTGCAATTTGCCTTTCAGAAGTATGAAAATGGGAGGAGAAAAAAACCTGAGCAAATTCTGTGACTACACAGAATTCTTGTGCAGTCTCAAACGAGTCGAGCATTTCTATAATATTCTCATGTTTAAGCTTTCTGAGTATCTGGAATTCACAAGAAAACAAGAGTCAGTTCTAATGAACGATTATGTCATATAATTTCAACTTTAATACTCCATAATGTATAGTTATCTTCATCATTTGCATAGCACTTTTACTGTCGTATTTCCATTTTTAGATCAACCATATACATATGATGACTCAAAATTACACTAATTAAGAAAATTCAACAGTAATTGAACTTAAACTTCGAAATCTAAACCCAAAGTTATACGAAGTACGTAGTTTTTTGCCATTTTTTAGTATGATTTTAATTATTAAAAAAAAATATCAAAAATCACCTCAATTTCCTGCCGAAGATTATGAAGATCTTTATCACTCTTCCCATGTTTCATTATAAATTTCATAGCAACAGTCTGCAATTTTACAAACCCACATCAATAATCAATCTGCCAATCAAAATGTATAAACCCTAAAATCAAAAAATCAAACTAAAAGTTCACCCAAAAAAAACAAAAATTACCTGGCCTGAGTATTTTCTTCTTCCCTTGTAAACTTTCCCAAAAGAACCTTCACCAACAAGCTCAATCACATGATAGTTTTCGACGCCCATTTCTTCCGATTGTTGACGCAATTTGATGAATATGCTTGAAATCAATAAGCTTAAAGTTGGAATTTAGTTGTAATGCGATCGTAATTGCAGTAATTTTGAGTTAGGGTTTGCGAAATCCTGCGTTTGGGGGTGATTGAGGGATATCCGTTAACTGTGGAGTAAAGTAATGGATTTTTTGAATTTTTGCCGCTCTCTTGATTTTCAATTTTGTCGAGTACTTCTATAGAGTGTCATCTTATGTGTTTGAAATTGGGGTAGTTAAACGTCACTCTCAAATTACTAGGCGTCACTCACATTTTTTCCTTAAAGTTCCGTATTTAACCCTCGTATATAAATACTTACTACACTCACTCGTAACACTTACAAAACATTTTACGCTCGATAAACTTAAAATTCTTAAATTTTAAAAAAAAAACAGAAAATTCACAAAAGTAACTAATATTAACTAATAATACTAATACTAATTACTCAAATTACCACAAAAATAATAATAATCACAATAAAAATTATAATATCATACAAAAATTACATTAATAAATTTGATTAATTAATTTCAAAAAAAAATTAATCGTTTTTATTAATTAATCAATAAAAAAAAATATTGGACATCCGCCTAAAAAATCTGGATCCTCCATGGTGGATCCACCTAAAATTTCCGGATCCACCATGGAAGATCCGAAAATTCTAGGCGGATGTACAGAATTTCCGAATCTTCCATGGTGGATCCGGAAATTTTAGGCGGATCCAACATGGAGGATCCGGATTTTTTAGGCGGATGTACGCTTTTCAAAAAATAAAAAACAAAAATTCGAGGACTTGCAGAATCCTCCGACGATGCCTCCGGGGACGATCGTTGTCATCATCCATCGTCCTAAACCCGTCGCTAAAGCTTAATAAATTTTTTTAAATAAAAAAATCGAATTTTTGGTGGTGGACTCGGGAATTTTGGGTTGGATGTGGTGAGCTCAGGAATTTTTTTTAACCAAGTAGTGGATCGAATGTGCCTCTGGAATAATATTAAAATGCTCGGGAATCTTTTTAACCAAGTGGTGGAGTCTTATATAGTCTAAGTTATTGGAAAGGGCAATATGGTCCTTTCATGTCAAAATGGGAGCGACACTTGGTAAATTGGGAGCGACCATTTAGCAGTTCACTTGAAATTTTGTCTAGTCACTAGACATTATCAAAGATAAATTGATCCGAGCAATCAATACAAGTATTTGAGCATTTAACTCAAGTTCGGGTCAGGTTTTGAATTATATTATATCGGACCAACATAATATTGGATAAGTTATGATTTGGCTCGAGTTAAATAAATAGGGTTGTTTCACTGATTTGTTTTCTTAAGTACTTAGATTGTATTCAATTTTGAATTTGGGAGTAATTAGTTTGATCTAGGGGTGAGTTTATGGCATATAAATCAATTTGAATCAAGTTTACATTAGGTCTTTATCGAGTCAAATTAACTTCAAGTCTAGTCATTTTTAAGCTTTGGGTCAAATTTGGCTGATGGGACCAATATTGAGTCATAACAAGTAAACCAGATCATAACACAATCGAGTCAAGGTTGTATCAATAACCTTATAATATATATATATATATATATATATATATATATATATATATATTTGACAAGAAGGTTGTATCAATATGTTGTTACACCAATACTGAGAGTGAGACCAAAATTTATAAAACAATATTAAGTCAATTTTATATTTTTGTCAATCTAAGGATTGTAAACATATTAAGCTCAATTGCTTAAAGTTAATGTTATCATTATTTATTTTAGGCCAATTAAATAAAAAGTTGGGTCAATCATTTTCAAGTCAAGTCAATGGCAGGTTAGATTAACTGTGATTGGGTAAAAAAAAGTTATGTGTAACCGCAGATTGGGTCATGTTCTAATTGGGTTATGTTTCAATCATAGTTGATTTGGGTCAAATTAGTTGTAACGTGCAAGTTTAGGCTTGAATTATAGAGGATTGGGTTAAATCAATTGTCGATTGATATCAAGTTTTGTTCATGTTATAGATCACCAAAGTCACACCTTATGCAAGTATGGGTTTATGTCGATTCAGATGTCATGCAAGTATGGGTTTATGTCGATTTAGATGTCAACTAGTCAGATGGTGTTTCACATCTAAACAAAAAGTGGTAAACATTAAACATTTACGCTAATCCAAGTTTTTAACTTGAAAGGAATAGTGTTTTTTTTTTTTTTTTTATAATTCGTGCAAAATAAATTTAAGAAATCATGTATGCAATTTACTTATTATATCAAGTAAAATCCATTGATGTCATGATGTCAACACACGGAATACTTGTTCATTGTATCTAGAGCAAATCTTATGGAACCCTTTTCTGACTTCTAATTTAAAATTTCAAGCACATAACAAAAATCCTGAATTTGAACTAGGATAAAATATTTAATCTCTAGTGGACAAGTTGCGCAAGATAACGGAGAGAGAAAGTGAATCTTTGAGTTAAAACTTAAAAGTGAGACAAATAGTGGGAGGAGCCAATAGAAATGCAGCAAAATTTAGAAAATTATATTGATGAAATAAATGATGTTCATTTTTTCAAAAAATGGACCTCCCTCATGATCTTATAGTATATGATATTGTTACAAGGTTGCCTATCAAATCTATACTCCAATATAAGTCAATTTCTAAACAATGGTATACTTCTATTTCCTCTTCAATTTTTGGTAATGCTTATTTCAAGTTATCTTCATTTAAACATTCCTTTTCCCCTGTAAATTGTGTTCTTATTTGTTCTGGAAATAATTATTTTTTATATTCTTTTGATGATGATAAGGAAAAATTGGGTACTAATTGTGAAAAGGGTTTGTTTAAGTTAAGCATTGATTTTGATGGTTTGTCGTCGAAAGATGATATTATTCTTGTAGGATCATGTAATGGGTTAGCGTGCTTGTGTTCTATGTTGGGTTATTTGATTATTTGGAATCCTGTTATACACCAATGGACTAAGTTTTTGTACCCTTTATTGGAAGGTTTTCGAAATTTCACTTGGGGGTTCGGGTATGTACATTCGAGTGATGATTATAAGGTTGTTAGAATAAGTGAGGCCGAAGAAAGCAGAGTTATTGTGGCTCATGTTTTCTCATTGAGAAGTAAAAAATGGGAGCAAATTCATGATGAGAGGCTTCATGGGTATTCCCTACATGGGAGGCCTAGTTTGGCTGGAGTTTTGGTCAATGAGACTCTATATTGGATCATGTATGAGCGAGGGCGTGGTGAGAAACAATGCATTTTGGGTTTTGATCTAGTCCATGAAAGGTTTGATGAAATACGCGGTCTGATCCCTGGTGACTCGTACTTAAGTGGATTTCGCTTCCTAGGTTGTATGGGAGGGTCCTTGGCCATGAGCCGGTTCACCAGTTCAGGTGATGTGAGCATATCGATTTTAAAGCAAAAGGGACAGATTGAATACATTGGATTATATAGGGACATGAATCTAAGTTCTTGTTGTGATGTGGTTGGATTCACTAGGGCTGGTAAGTTTTTCATTCAGTTAGGTGATCAGAAACTAGGATTGGTTGATCCAAACTCTTCGCCTAAGAAGTATACTCAGCTTGTCACATTTGGAGAGCAAGGCAGCACTCGCGTCTTGAGTTATACTCCGAGCCTGATCTCCCCTTTGGCTTTTGCTGAAATGCCTAAAGAGTAAAGATCGATTAAGACAGATAGGTACTATCAGCTTCTCATTTAACTTTGTTGCTGCTAGAAATTATAGCTTCCTGTAATCTGTAGCTGATATAGCTGTTGTGTATCAGGAAAGCGGCGTAGCTATATCGAAAGCAATTGGAGATTTGGAGTTGAAGCTGAGATTGTTGAATTGACATTGAAGATAATGACTTCAGAGAATAAAGAGCTAGCACAACTTTTATTTCCGTGCTTAATGTTAAGTGGATGGTTTGTTAACTGTTCTATTTGTAAACCAGAACTTGGTTAACTAAGCTGTACGAGTATTTTTTATATGGGCATATAGTCATTTGTTTCTGTTTTTTGTGGTGCACTATTATACAAAGCTGGAGGTTTTTACAGACTTTGATAACTGAGTTTGCCTACTATATTAATGTTGCATCACACCTACTCAGCAACAATCTTACCCACTCATTAAAAATAGGAGATAGTTGCTAATAGAATGGCATGATTTGTGTATCCTACTTGAGTCACTGGCCACCTCATTTTATAAACGACTAAACTATATCCTCTAAGACACAATATATGTTTGGGAAAATTAATTTGTGGTAAGTTTTATAACATAACAAATACGAAGTATGTATAATATTGTATGGAGTACATAACTTATACTCATATAAGGTTACTATTATAAACAAAATATCTATTACACGTATATACAATCAGAGCTCCGCAATACTGTACATACTTCGGAAAAGTTACATAGTATGATCATATGAAATGAAAGGAGTAGGTTTGTTTACTAGAACCCTAATTTCCTCACAAATTATACAACTAACCCCGGCAACAGTGCAATTTATTTGTCATGCATATAGAGAGGTGCATGAATTGTGACTACAAATTTATGCTCAATTTAAGTAATAACTCTGTAAATAGAAGAGGCAAAGTAATTAAATTAGTTGTTGTGAGCAACTTTTGTCCATTATTCATTACAAAATACACATTATCGTTCGCTAATTAAAAATCAAAGTATTTGAGAAATGAGATTACCATTTAATACTTTGGATCAAAGAAGGCTAATCGACATGGCAGCCTCTACCTTTGCATGGGTATGCATTTTCTTCAACTCTGTTTTTCCCCTGATGAATTGAAGCTATGTACTTGTAACAATTAAGCGTTAATTGCAATTTTATCTCTGATGTTCATACTTAATTTTTACAATTCACAAATTTTAAATTAGGAGTCAGCTACTTCTTGTACTTGTATATTCTAATTTGAGAGGATGCTTTAGTTTTCTAGCAACTTGCATGGGCGGATATATTACTCAATACTCTCTTCGTTCCTCTTTATTTGTCTTAATTTCCTATTTTTGTTGTAAATTGAAACTTTAATTGTGGCAAATTGGTTTTTGTACAAACAACGAAGTACTTTTTAAGTGTTAAAAGATTTTTAAGAGTTAGAATGAGGAATCTACCTGAAAAAGTTTGTTAGCTTTATACAAGTATTTATCATTGTCAAAATAATTTTTAATAAATTAAGGAAAACGGTGCTTAAATACTACTCGTACTGAAAGAGGTGTAGTTTTTAATGGTTAACTAACAATGTTCACATTTCACACTTAGGATGCCTAAAATCTGCAGTACAGTTAGGCAAGATAATAGAAAATGCACCTTTAATAGGCAAGATTAAAGAAAAGACCCAAATTTGGTGGGAGAGAACGAGTATTCATAAGGATATTTCCTTGTCATACAATAGTTGCATTTATATTTAAGCCCTTGCACCAAAAAATTAATGGAGTAAAAGAAACTTTATATCTCTACACTATTAACTAAAGTCAAATGGAACATCAGTGGCTGAAGCCCATCAGCACAACCAGGACGTCAAAGCAGGAGGTGGAGGAGCCACTAAGCCTGGCGACATGCTTGTTCCACATGCCACGGCTGAACTGCTGCATAGTAGCAGTGACTGGGTTTAACACCGCAATCAATGTTGACGTTGTTAAGGAAGGACTTAACCAAACTGTTGTTAAGCACCCTCGCATCTCTAGCAAACTGGTAAATATTACTTCATCCGTTCTTTTTTTAATTGTAACAAAGACTATATTAGAAGTCTTTGAATTGGCTTCAACATGAGGCTAAATTTTCCATCTTTTCTAAACAAGTAGGTTTTTGATCCCAAGAACCCCGGGAGACCAATTGGATGGATCCGAACCAAAGTGGACGTGAACAACCACATTATAGTCCCAAATTTGGATTATTCGAATATGGACTCACCGGATGAATTTGTTAAAGACTATGTTTCAAATCTTGCTCAAACTCCTATGGACTTAACCAAGCCATTATGGGAAATTCACATCCTCAACATCAAAACTAAGGATGCTAACTCGATTGCTGTCTTCCGAATTCACCATTCCATAGGAGATGGTATCTCAATCATATCCCTCATACTCTCGTGTACTCGAAAAACCTCTGATCCTAATGCAGTTCCTACACTCCCAACTGAAAATAAGAAGTTGGTTAACACAAGAAGCTCATTTAGTTTATGGGACTACTTCTTGTGGCTATTGTTTGCTTTCAACATGTTGTGGAACACTTTCATAGATGTATGCATGTTTTTGGCCACAATAGTTTTTCTTAAGGACACCAAAACTCATCTAAAAGGCTCTTCTGGAACCGAAAAGGCTCCTAAAAAGTTTGTTTATAGAATTCTAAGCCTTGATGACATCAAGTTGGTCAAGAATATCATGAATGTGGTACGTTTTCTTTGTCAATAATTGTTCAAACTTAATTGACATTACTAACATATGTATGATTAAATTTAAGCTTGTTATACATCTAAATGGGGCGCCGTTGATAATATTTTTCAGACGATTAATGATGTGGTTTTAGGGATAACTCAGGCAGGCCTATCGCGCTACCTTAACAGGAAGTATTGTTAGTCTTCAGCTTACCCACGTGATCATTTATATTTTTATTTTTTCAGTTGTATGAAATTCTGATGTACAGTAATACGTTCTTACATTCAGGTGAGTCCAAAGGAGATGAAGGGGTGCAGAAAAATAATTTGCCTAAGCATATTTGTATCAGATCATCAATCCCAATCAATGTCAGACCAACTTCCAAGCTTCAGGTTTAAATACAACATTACTCATTTCTATCACCTATTTGTAACCAAAATTATGTTGTTCAAAAAAGGCTTTAAAATTGTCTAAGATACTAAACAGGATTTAGCAGAACAAATGGAAACAGACGATCCCAATACGAAAAAGTGGGAATGGGGGAACGCAATTGGTCACATCTTCCTTCCCTTCCACATCGCGCTAAGAGAAGACCCATTAGATTACATACGCAGTGCTAAAGCCACCATTGGCAAAAAGAAACATTCTCTTGAAGCAATTGTCACATATATATGTGCTGAAATTGTTCTCAAGTTTCTAGGCCTTGGGGTATGCATTCAACTTATAGTAACCTAGGCTTTATCATTATTAACTAAGCTACTAGTTGTATGAAAGTAATATTTACTTCATAGTTTTACAGGTAGCTGCTGCAATAACATACAGAGTCCTATCCAATACTACCTTAGGCTTCTCAAATATGGTCGGTCCAATGGAAGAAATAAGCTTCTATGGTCATCCAATCACATTCCTTGCTACTAGTGTTTCTGGACACCCACATGTATGTAACTTGCGTGCTTAATGCTCACTATCCTTGATTTAATATACACTCGGGTACACGGTGCAGCCAAGGGTATTGATTTTATATACACTTGGGTGCACGGTGCAGCCAAGGGTATTTATGAGCAAACAATACCCTTGGATACGGTGCACCGTGCACCCGAGTGTATATAACAATTTCTATTATAATTGGGATCTTATAGTACATATATGCGACGTATGTAGATCAAGTTATATTGTGCTTAATTGATGTAGTTTGTCTATTTGGTGCAGGCTTTGACAATCCATTTTCAGAGTTACATGGATAAGATGACTTTGGTTATTGCAGTTGATCAAAATGTGATCCCTGATCCACAACAACTTTGTGATGATATTGCGGAATCACTTGGACTTGTAAAGAAGGCAGCTCAAAAGAAGAAGATCTTCAAGATTTAGCATCGATGTTCTAGTTACAACTTACAAGCCTAAAGTAATTGAAGAACTATACCCATGGATTTATTTTGGGAGTAATATACATTAAAATAAATGCTGTATTATGTGTCAAAAAAATATATATATAAATGCTGTATTACATATATTTCTTTCATTTTGCAATTGGCTATTGGCAAATATGGTTGAAATTTCAAGGTGATTAAATTTGCTTACGACTACATTTCCAATTAAGTTAAAAGCTAGAGATAATGAAAAGTACAGTTTTTTTTTTTTTTTGTAAATAATTTTTCGATTGTATAACAGCCAGATTTCTTAGCATTATTTAATAATAATGTAGTTTGAAGTTTGAGAATGAATTGAAAATAAATTTAATTTTAACATCTAGACTTCATTCTAAACAAATAAAATTCAAATAAAAAAATTTAAAATTTTGTTTATTTGATACTCCACCAATAGGTTTCCTGTGAGTCCTTGGATAAAAGAGGGAGAATTTCAGCAAGCCCTAGTGCAAAACTTTGTCACACCCCATTTTTGTCGATGACCTACACGAAATAATCACATTTTGTTCACGTAGCCAACTTACGCTACCAATGGAATTAATGCGTTGATTGATTGATACTAATCAAGATTTAATGTTGTTTCTATAACAAAATAATGAAAATAACAAAAGTTCACATTATTATAACAAATTTAACAAGATCTTAATATAGACGAAGCAATGTTTGTACACCAGATCATATCATGCAAATCAGACTATAAAAACATTTTCATATCACAACAGATCATATCATAAAGCAGAACAGATCATACTAACATGAGATTACTACATTGCACAGTGTATTTATTTATTTCATTATATCGTTTCAAAGTACCTATAAAAGTTGGCTGGAAAAAAAAAATAAAGACCAATTTAGGTAAACAGACCAAGAAGAAGGGGTGGGCTTGTGCGCAGGCAAGTAGACCAAAGAACTCATAATATGTTTGCTCATTTTGATTATATTTGCTCATTTTAATTATTTTTGCTCCTATATTTGGAAAACAAAAATGCATTGTTGTGCATATTGTGTATACTGAATACTTATAGATCCTTGAATTACTTGTGAATCTCATAAATATTTGCTCATTTTAATTCTAGTTTGCTCAATAACAAGTTCAGAAAACAATAAGAAATGTTCTATTATACATATTTAGGTTTGCTCATTTTAAATTTGATTGAAAATAAGAACCTACTAACAACATAATAAGAGCATTCAATTGGAAATTTCAGAACATTTCTTAATTTGATCATAAGTTTAATCCGATATCATTACAATCACTATCAAGTTTAATCTGACATCATTACAATCACTATCAAGTTTAATTTGATATTATTAAAATCTCTATCAAATTAATCAAACCTAAATAATTGATTCAATTCAATCAAATAATTGATGCAATCAAACATTCAATTCAATGATTAATGCAATTCGAAAATTAACATGTAATTCAATAATTAATGCAATTTTAAAATTTTCAGAGATGTAAAATCAAAATATTTTGAACATTAAGATTAACATGCAATTCAAAATTAGAAGAACAAACAAACCTCAATGATTGATGAAATTGTCGACCGTTGAAATTGTTTACTATTTAACAAGAATAGGAGAGAGAAATTGTCGACCGATGATAATTTGAGGTGCAGAAAGAAAGAGCATAATCAATGAATTGCCATTGGTAAGTTTCGAGCTTTGACAGAATAGAGGAGAGAGATAAAGCAGAGGTTGAAGGTAACAAAATTTGTTAGTTAGGCAGGCTTTGAGTTATAATCTCAGCTGTTGGAATTCATCTAATTTAGCGGCTGAGATTTTTCCTCACATAAAGGGTGGTTCTCATCGCATCCCAACCCTATATATATATATATATATATATATATATATATATATATATATATATATATATATATATATATATATATATATATATATATATATATTAATATATATATGGAGTTTTTTCCCGAGTTTTTAGAGAGTCATGTAGGATTTAATTTTCCTAGCTCGCCATGTTTGATTATAAATTTTAGTGGCAGCCAATTAATTAAGAGATTATTAATTTATTTTAGAATTAAATAATTCAAATGCCATGTAAGTAAAATTGGCAAATGAGATTTTTAAGCTTAAATTAATTAAATATAAAATATTACCTTTTGATATTAGAAATTTTATCTAAATATATAACAAATTTTAGCACATAAATACAAAAAAAAATTTAAAAAATTCAAATAAATTATACATCGCACGGATTTCCAGTGAGATAATAAATCCAACCCGAACCGAATGAATAACCCGTATTGACACCTCTCGGACTATCAAAGAGATCAGAAAGACCTTCTAGAATCATCTACTCTCTCAAACTTTTCAATAAATCCCTCCACTTTACAGTTTACACTTCATCGCCCCTTCTACTCCTCTCTTTCTCTCTCTATATAAATATCCCTCTAAAATCCTTGTTATTACTGATTCATCTCGACTCTTCCCTTTTTCTTTTCATTTCATCTTCCTCCAAGAAAACCCCTGTTTTTCTCTTTCTCCCTCCTCAAAATCCGACAACAATGGCGATTCTCTCAGATTACGTCGAAGAAGAGCACAAACCTCAAGAACAACCACAACAACCACCGCCTACTCCGAAGCCGTATTCTACAATTCTCGATCCTTCGAATCCGCTAGGGTTTCTTCAATCCGCCATTGATTTCGTTGCGAAAGAGACGGATTTCTTCGCCGATGATTCGTCTGAGAAAGAGGTTGTTAGTTTGGTTAAGAATGTGAGGGAGAAGCTTAAGGTTGAAGCCGAGAAGAAGAAGAAGGAGGAGGAAGCTGCTGCTGCTGCTGCTGCTGTTGCGTCGTCTTCTGCTTCGAAGAAGAAGGATGCGTCTTCTATGGATGTCGACGATGATGATGAGAAGGAGACAGAGAAATCTAAGTATATAGGTTTATCATCTATCTCTTTCATCTTTGAGTTTTTGAATTTTGTGTTGATTTATTGCGCAATGTTGGTGATTCTACTCTTCATTTTGACTTTTTGATGAATAGAATTTGACCTAATTAATTTTTAGTTGTTGATTTTAATATATGATTGTGATTTGCCCTAACTTCGGTTAATAAATGAAGAAGTATAATATAATTGATTCTAAGTATTGTTCTGTTTATTAGTATGTGTTTGGTGCTTGGTGAGTATATAATTGTGGATCTTGGTTGATTAATCTGTGACTGTTGATGAATGAATGAGTGTTAAGTTAATATGCAATTGAGCGTTGATTAATCTGTTTTTTGATGATTCGTTGTTGTTCATTCATGATTGTTAGTGAATTATTGTTAATGGATCTTTTTAATTAATCTCTAGCTGTCAAGATAATACTGCTATAGGATCCTTTGAGAACTGTACTCAATTAAACAAATTAGTGTAGAAACATACTGCGAAATTAAAGCTAATTTATGAGCACCTTCTGCTTAATTTCTTAATCAAAGAAGCATATGCTCCAAATTTATATCGGGCAGGGTGGTGGTGGTTTGGGGTGGACTAGAGTGAATCCTTTTGATTTAGAGGAGTTATTAGAATGATTAAGAGGGAAATTGTTGTGGTAAACTAATTTAAGGGGATAACAATTAGGAGGGACTAATTAGTAGCAGCTTTGGTACAAGGTAACTTATTACAAGGTATACTTGTTCTTGCGCTTGGTATTTTTATATTATTATGTACTGCTGCTGCTATTTTTCCATTCAAACTGTCCAATGCTAAATACAACAAACATGAAATTAAATCCCAAGATTATGAAGTAATTCAGTTACAACTTGAAAAAAATCTTTAAATCTAATTAATCCCAATATAATAACAAATTAAAAGCCTGATTAACAAACATGAATTTGATTCCAAGATTATAAACCCTGTCATAATTCTCATAATAACCATCTCTCATTTTTTTCCCACCAATTTCTTGTCAACGGATAAATAATCTAGCTGAAAAAATTATTAAATTAAAAAAATAAAAATGGAGCACAATAATCGTATTTTGAAGCATATGCAATAATGATCTACTAGAAATTGAATTATATATTAACTACTAAGTTCTGCACAAAAAGAGAAAAAAAAAATCCACTATAATCTTTGCCAAAAATTAAGCACTATATTCTTTGAAAGATTGATAAACAATATAATTATTATCAGCAAAGTCTGTGCTAATAATAATATCAGCAATGTTATTTCCTAATTTATTGCACTTCATTAAAATCATTCCACCCCAATACACTGGATCCAGACAGGCCCTTAATAAGATGACTGTAAAACAGAGAACAATTCAGTGTCTTTCTAGTTGGGAGCCGGTTTTCAATATTGATTAATTGATGTGCTACTCCTAGTAGCTACCCATAAGAGAAATTTAGCTGCCAACCTTTACATAAATAATATTAGTTTCAGGTAATGGCTCATATTTCATCACATTTTTCATAACTAAAGCATGAATTACACTTTGGATTCATATTTTTATATTATACCTTTCATTTGCGATGGCTCTTTGTGAAAGGCCACTACCAGATGGTAGAATGATGTATTTCATGTGTAGTATTGCTGTGTTTTTGTTAGGAGTTGATATGCTTTTTTAATCAACCTTTCTTATTTACTCAATTAATCAAAGCCTTTCTTATTTACTCTTTGAAATACATTGGTGCAGAACCGAACAAAGGGAATGGTCAAGATTTGGAGAACTACTCATGGGTACAGTCCTTGCCAGAAGTTACTGTAAGCGTACCTGTTCCACCTGGGACAAAGTCAAGGTCCATCTCTTGTGAGATTAAGAAGAATCACTTGAAAGTTGGTCTCAAGGGCCAGCCTCCTATTATTGATGTAAGCTCTCTTATATCAAATTGAGCCACTTGTTTTCCTTTTAACAAATTTAGACCTTTTTTGACTTGTAATATTTATTGTTTCAGGGTGATCTCTATAAGCCTGTGAAGCCAGATGACTGTTTTTGGAGCTTGGGTATGTTGAAAATTTTATACATGTGCAATGTGCCCTCTTGCTCTGCCTCTTCTGTGGCTGTGAACCTGTATATCTCAAGTTGTTACCTATTGTTTTCCTTTTTTTACGTAAGCTCTTTTCTACAGTAATATACTCCTAAATCGCTCAGACACTTACCCAAATCATGATTGCTCCGACGGCTTGGCAAGTAGATATTAGAGTCTCACATTGAAGTTTTATTTGATTTATGAGTATTTTATTTGTTTACCTGTTACTGTGATTCATGAATTTTCATGCCTAAAGCCTAGGTTTGTTGTTCACCTCTTTCATGTAATTTTTTTTTCTTGAGAACCCTACTTTTTTTTTTTTCTCTCTCCACACCCTTGCTTAATGGTTCAACCCCCCAAAAGGGTTTGTAATTCAATGATTGAGGTAAGTCCAGCTAATGTTGAGGTAAGTCCAGCTAAAGTGTGTTGCTATGATTAAAAGGTTACTTGTTGAGGAAGATCATGGCTCATTTTTTGGGATTTGAAATGGATTGCCATTTATTTTTAGTGGGGAAGTAGTGGTGTACTCCCCAATTTGAATTTTGGTTTACTTACCTCCACTAGGCCAGAGTTACATTTTTGTCTAAAGCTCTTGGCTGGTGCCAAAATACATGTATGTACACACACACACACAGCCTAGCAGGCTAGGCTAGCACACATTGTGCGCATGAAAACACAGTGCTTGGAATGTTATCTTTCTGACACTTATTCTGGTTTTTCTTCAGAGGATCAAAAGTCTATCTCAATTCTCTTGACTAAGCACGATCAAATGGATTGGTGGAGATGTCTGATTAAAGGTGAGCCTGAAATTGATACGCAGAAAGTTGAACCTGAAAGCAGCAAGCTCTCTGACTTGGATCCTGAAACAAGGTCAACTGTGGAGAAGATGATGGTAAGACTACAGGACTTTTTTTCATACTAGCCGACTTATCTTGGCATGTGTATAGTAATCTAAGAATTGATGTGATACCTAATTTCCTTGCATGAGATTTGTGAAGACTGAAGACCTGCATTTTACACAGTATAATCACACTTAAAAAATCATGTTTTGGTTGTGCACTTGTGCAGTTTGACCAAAGGCAGAAACAAATGGGCTTGCCAACAAGTGATGACATGCAGAAGCAAGAGCTGTTGAAGAAGTTTATGGCTGAGGTAAATACTTTGTTTTGATACACCTGTAATTTGGGTGAAATGTACATTTTTACAAATGAAATTATATTAAGTAAGGATTTCAGTAAACCTTATCTAAAATTCACTTGTGAATTCATGCAGCATCCAGAGATGGACTTCTCAAAGGCAAAATTCAACTAGATGGTGATGTCGGTGATGGAATATGATTCAATTTTTTGGGCTGATTACTGTAGACATGAAATTGGAGAGAGCTAAAAGAGGTTTTTTTTGGTCTGATGCTGAACTTGTTTATACTAGTTTCGATATCTAGGGTAGAATCTTCATATGAACTAAGCACATGATAACTGTTGTTACTTGGTATAGATACATTCCAGCAATCTTTGGTTTGCTAACTAAGCTTAATTGCCAAACGTGACTCCAGCGCTTGTTTTGTGGCTGTGCAATCATATTTGTGCTGCAAATTGGAATTGTTGTATGAATTTGTGCCCTACATTGCTACATTTGGAAATTAAACTTTCCCACGATTGCCTGATTGTTGGTTTGGGTGGTAACTGAACGCCTGAAAGTGGTGTCATCTGTGGTGATGTATGGAAATATTATGATAACTTTCATTTTATAAACTTATATCATGTCATCAACATGGCAATATGAATTACTTCCTCCGTTCTTTTTTACTTCGCTTTGACTTTTACACTATTCACCACCCCATCTTTGACCGTTTTATGTGAATTATATGCAAGGAAAAACATGTTTATAAGGGATCTTGTTAGAATCATCTAAGTAAGTAATATCACAATATATAACTTTTAAAAATTTTACTATAAAGGATTTAAGTTAAGTTATTGATGATTAAAGTTGTGCATTGACAAGCGTGATAAAAGAAACAAATTAAATAAAAACAGAATAAAGGAAGTATTAATTTGTCTGTATTTAATTATTTATTGTTATGATAAACTTTTGACTTGCATAATTCTAGAGACTTCTATATTTGAATTTCAATACCATTATTTTCAAAAATCGAGCATGATGGAGTAAGAATGAACATATATTAGTATTGTAATAAACCTCTATTAAATAAATAAACATTTATCAAATCACGATTCTTGCACTTGTTTTGTGCCTGTCCATCATCAACTGCATGTGAGTGCAATCAACCAACTTGTTTGCCCTATGACATAACATGATCTAAACATAACCGCAATAAGATCGATTAGGACGATATCTGTGACATTAGTACTTTAGAACCAAGTAAAACTAGGTCTTTTTAAGTACCTTGAGATTATTGGTGGGCCATAACTCACAGGTTTAAGGATTAGTTATGCCCATTAAGCTGCTGCTAATAGCATATTTTGTATTAAATTAGTTGACATATATTTTTTTTTTTAATCACATTTGTCATTTTTCAAGGATTGACTTATATCGGTATTAAATTAGTTGACGTGTTTCTTTATTTTTTATTTTTAATCATGTTTGTTTTTTTTCAAGGGTCGGCACACCATCGGCCATTGGGTGCAATGATTGGGTTGCGGGGTGCGACAGGGGCTGCTAAGAGTAACCTTCCTCTATAGAGCATTATTTTGGAAAATGTAAATATTGTTAGTGATCACCCAAGTTGCAATAGTATTAACAATACGAAGTAGTACATTTGGTGGCTCAAATATATACGAACTAGGCCGGGATTTGGGAGACCATAATATTTCAGCCTAATGAAGATGATGGTCTTGATGGATTTATGCGATAAGTACCTAAAATAATTGACGGTGCAACAAGTAGCTTAGTGCTCTCCAGAAGTTTCTAGAGCGCTCCCAAGGCATACTGGAGAAGTATTCTACCATAAGTCCATAAGTAATTATAGAATGCTCATGAGATTTCTTGTACATACATAATATACGTAGTACTTAAAATGTACCTATGAGACTTCTTGAAAAGGTAAGGGTACTTCCTAGATATTGATATTTTATGTAAGTAGGACGGTGGCGGCCTATTAATAGGCATCAAGGATCATTATTGAGAGTTCAATACAAGTAAACACTCTCAAAAACACTTATGTTCTCATCCAATTCAATATATGTAATTCCTTTAATAAGCGTGTGGTAGGGAAATTAACATGGGACATACTAAACATTCGTGAAAATTGTAATAAAATTTAAGCCGTAACATCGGAGGTAGGCACTAAGGGCCTAAGAGGCGTGCTTAGTTCATCATTTAAAGGCATGCTAGCAAGAACATAGATGAAGGCATAACATTTAGTGTCATTGAGCAAAAGATGTGACGTGTAGCAAAGGGGCTTGTGGATGCCTAAATTCAATATTTTTTTATTTTTATCTATAAACTATGAAAATTTAAGATACAATCTTTATATGATGAAGCAAACCGCTTAATATTCCATTTAAAAATGAATGGATGATACTTGAAACTTTTTTGTCAAACTATTTCTTAAAATCATGTCAATGGACAAACTCAACAAAAACTTTAAGTTGATGGTAATCGACAAACTCAAACCATGTCACAAGCCATGGAGTATGTCGCAATATTGATTCAGATAATTTGATTACAAATCAATGAAATGAATTTGATTTAGAGAAGAAGAGAAGAGATGAAGCAATAAAGTTAGTTTTTGTGAGAAATTAAAATCTTAAGTATGTCGCAAATTTACTTGTTATGAACTATGAAGATGAATTGAAATGAATTAAAGAATTAAATAAAAATAATGTTAAACCAAAATTATGATAAATTTCTTTTTTTATAATAATATCTTTATTTTCATCTAATTATTGTAAATTTTGAGATAATTTTTTTTTAATTAAAACATGCATCATATTCACTTGTATATAAGATCAGTATTCAATTAATTTACCAAAACCATCCGGTTATGTATTTTATATAGTTCATTTCTCACTTGTCTTTGACTGCATTGCTTAAGTGAGCTCATATCAGTTATTATATACAGGGTAGTACACTATATCAAGCTAAGTATATTGTTACCAGAATACGCCCACTGCAATCCTTTTCAAAAATAAAAAAAGGTTCAATGGGAGAGTTAAATTTTAATCATTTAATTATTTTAATATCTTTTATATACATTAAATGGATACCACCACATCATATTATCCATAATATTGGGAAATACTTGTGATGTAAAGAACTCAAAATTTTGAAACTAACTAAATATTTTTACCATCAAATTTCATAAATGGAGGGTGATAGAGCTAAACAGCCCTACAAAAAACATGCCTAAGCTAGCAAGTCAATTTGGTGTGGTAGGCTTTATCTTCAAGTTGCAATTAAAATTGGGGTGGACAATTTTGGACATGGGGAGCCGTCAAGGGGCATATCATAGAGGGAGTAATACAAATCATCATCCCAACTATGAACGGCTCCAACCGCCAATCGACACATGGATAATAATGCCACGTAAGTCCCCATCAAATGCCATTTTCCTTTAAAAGTTCACATCCCAAATCAAGATGCCATGCCACTAATTATTTATGTCCTATTTGGGGAAGGTAGTTGTAGCTTAGGTATGGTCCTATACAAAATAGGTCCCAACCCCAAAAGTTTTTGAGGTGGTACACTTACAAATTATATATATTATGATCCATAGTGCAAAATGCAATTTTCTCCCTCACAAATGTTTAGTGATGAGAATTTTATGACTCATCATCATGTTCTAATATGATGAATTGATTATATTGAATGATATTTGGACTTTTATAGTATATTATTAGTATGTATTCTTTCCATTCAAAATTAAATTTCACTTTGAAAATGATTTGAATTCATAATGTAATTGCTTCAATAGGAAATAGACACTTTTAATTGTACAGGAATAGGACAATTAACACTCGTAATATTTTGTCAATGAATGTGATAGAAGGTAATATTAGTAGTAAGATATGTACCTAAATACTTGTAGTTCTTTTATGTGATGACTTAAGCATTGACTAATGTATTAATGACATTCACATCGCTTTGTGGTAGTTTGTATGGAATGAAATAAAGACAAAGCAGAGTTCATTTTGTAAATTAACTAGTAAGCGAAGCTGCGAAGGAACCTCATATGAACTTGTCCTCAAAAACTCAAAAGTTTGTTTGTGAATAACTAACTAATACTAGTAATATTATTCTAAGTAATGGATATAGGTGCAATAACGGGATCTCCACTTAATGATCGTATATGGAGGGATACTGTATCCCTATTCACATGCATCAGGCTTGTAAATGAATTGATTACACTGTTACAGTTAAACCCCACATACCGGCTAAAAATATACTAGTAAAATAAAGTAATTACTATTTACTACAACTAAGGTTGTAGTACATAAGTAGGGTACTACATTCATAAGTTTTGTGGGAATCAATTGATAAGTGGTCACTATACAATATAAGAGTGTACTACTATTTGGTTAGAAATTGGACAAAAGCGTTATCCTTTAGTCCTCCCCAAATAATTGAACCTATGATTTTTATACATAAAATGTTTATTCGTATTTGTTATTTATTTTTGGTCATTTGCAATCATCCACAATTCTCCATTGCCCCTTCCCTCCTTCTGTCCTCTCAAATTACAATTAATGTAGATGACACTTCTATAATAATTGATATATATGGTCCTTTTTTTTTTTTTTTTTATCCCTTTTGAAAACAGAAAAGGTTGACTTGTTCACTGTTGGGGGATATGCGAGTTATGGATATGTTGACATAATTACACCGTGTGACGTACGTACACATGTTATATTATGACGCACACACTCAAATAAGTTACGTTATAGATATAAATATTAATACCCCTATTAAGTTCAAAATTTATCCTCATAAAAAAAATAGTTCAAAATTTTATCAAAAATGCCTCTACGTAAGAAACTTTAATTTCTTACAACTTTTGTAGCTAGACATATTTGATTGTACGTAATATTAAAAGAAATGGCATACATTGTTCGAATGGAAGCATTCTAGCTTAAAACACTCTAAATAGATTATCTCATATACGCTTTTTCTTAATTACTGGTAACATTCAAATTATAGCCATGTACTCCGTGTAAAATATTTTTTATATTATTATTTACGAGAGAAATAGGCATACATTGATGCAAAATTGCAAATGTTTACTAAATATCCTTAAAATTAGAATGAAAATGCTCAACTAAAATGAAGATGAGAGATTGTCAAGGTCTCTCACATGAAACAATGCAGTACATAAAGACCTTATCTTTGAAATAAGACAGCAGAAATTCAAAAATTATTTATTAAAATAATGGCATGCATAGAATTATAAAGAAAAAGACTTGGAGAATCCATTCTTTTAGTTGACATGACATTAGCACTCCGTTTTAATCTACTACTCCGTAGTAAAATGCAATTCCACTTGTTTCTAAGTAAATTATGCTAATGAAAGTTTACATATTAATTAATCGACCCTTGAGTGTTAACTTATGAGTATTATTAGGGGTTCATTTTTCTTAGAGTTAATAACAGTGGAAATTTAATTAATATTGTCACTAGATATAATTTTAACTCCAACCAACACCAACATAACGCTTAATGTTATCCTTATAAATAATATTCGGAGTCAATCCTATCTTAAACTTATGCCACTATTTTTAATAACAGGATCTTTCTCACAAAAGATCCAGTTAAAAAAGATCATTTCTTACA